GTTTAAAAGTGGGTCTTCTCAGTGGGAGCTGTGAGCACCTTTGGGCGGGGTTGTTTCTGGGGAGGGGGGTGTTTGGACACATGCAAGTGTCGGTGTCTGTAGCCACCATGGTCCTTTGCTTGGGCAAAGCGTAGGGCCAGGGCAGGGCGGGGAGGGTGTAAAGCAGGTCGTGGAGGCAGGTCGCATCCCAGGCTCCAGCAAAGCACCCCGCACCAGGGCCGCCGGCTCCCTCCTGACGCCCCCTGTGCAGCTTCCAACAAGGCCCGCTGCGTGCCTGCCCCACGTAGATCAATGGGCACTTCTCGCTCTAGGATCTGTCACTACTTGGATTTTTTTTCATTTTTTAAAACCTGAAGCTATTTTATTTAAAAAATATTTTTATTTCAGAGAGGAAGGGAGAAGGAGATAGAAGCATCAATAATGAGAGAGAATCATGGATCGGCTGCCTCCTGCACGCCCCCTACTGGGGATTGAGCCTGCAACCTGGGCATGTGCCCTTGACCAGGAATCCAACCATGACCTCCTGGTTCCTAGGTCAATGCTCAACCACTGAGCCACCGTGGCTGGGCTGAAGCTATTTTAAATCTGCATCTAAATGCAAGCAACTGCCCTAGCCAGTGTAGCTCAGTGGATAGAGCATCGGCCTGCAGACTGAAGGGTCCCGGGTTTGATTCCCAGTCAGGGCACATGCCGGGGTTGCGTGCTGGATCCCCACTGTGGGGTGTGCAGGAGGCAGCTGATCCATGATTCTCTCTCATCATGGATGTTTCTCTCTCTCCCTCTCCCTTCCTCTCTGAAATCAATAAAAATATTAAAAAAATAAATGCAAGCAACCGAACTGGAACAGCTCTTGTGCCATGGTGTGTAGCTACACTGAAGATGGAGGCTGCCGGGCGGATGCCGAAAGCATGGGAGCAGCCCTGTGCCCCAGACCTTTGCAGGGGGGAGGGGAACACCCTCCCCCTCCCCCTCCCCCTTGTGTGGTGTGCCCCCCAGCTGTGTGGCCTGCAATCCGAGGACACAACGGCCTTTTGGTGTTTTATACATTTTATTCGTACATTTCTCCAACTTTGAAATGACAAAAGCCCAATTCTATGGTTTCCCATGACACAGCATCCTACAAGTATGTATATTCTACGAAGAATACTATGGAGACTCTCTCCCTCCCCTGTCACACGAGATCACTGATTAGGGTTCCATCCACTTGGACTGTGGGCCAGGGCACCAGCGATCGGTGGCTCTGGCGACAGGCGAAGGGATCAGGGCGGGAGGGCGTGTGCTAAGGCATGTAGATAGATACACACAGAGAAAGAAAAGCAGGGCATTCACAGAGAATCCGGACCTCTCCGACCCCGTCCCGTGGCGGGCGCTGAAGGACACCCCTGCACAGACGCACTTGCACGCTAAGGCTTGGCTGTACCCTGCAAATACTTACAATTGGCTACGGTGAAATATACAACAACCATGAACATCGCTCTCTTTTGATCACTGAGACAATACTTCAGAACCTTTTATAAAAAGGCAATTGTACAGACAGAGAAAAGAACACGCTGGCAAAACTTGATGCAAAACAACAACCCGAGGAAGGAGTCTGACTGGTGGCGCACCTGCATTTGCTACTCCGGCCGGAGCGCTCTCGGGGCTCCCGTGGCCTTTGCATCAGCCACCCTGCCCGGCCCGCAGCCTCCCGCCTGCCCACCAGGGGGCCTGAGCATCAAGGCCCCCAATTCCTGGTCTCTTCAAAAGGAAAAACAAAAAAACAGGTGGGGCGACTCGCTGTGGAGGAAGGCCTGATTGTATGCCTGGGAAGAACTAAGATACTGCCGCCCCTCTGGGCCCCACGCTGGCCACACCCCAGGCCTCTCCTGGCGAGGAAACTGACATGTTCTCTAGGTCACGTGCCTGAGAAACGGGAACTGACACTCAAGTGAGTGGCAGCAGCAGAGCCCTGGGTTCTGAGCCCACGCAGACCTGGAGTGGTGCGTGGGGCCAGAAACGAGGTCTCTTGTGTGGTGACAAATCTCTTTCCGTTTTCTTTTGCTCGGTCCATTTGCACAGGTTGGAGGTGATGGAGGGGCAGGTGAAGGTGGTGGGGCACTGGCTTTTCAATGCCCCCCAGGAGCAAAGGGTGGGTGGTGCCCATTAGAGGTGGTGCGGGCTCCCCCCCGCTTCTCTCTCTGGGCTGGGCCTGCCCACCTCCTGCAGCTTGGGAGGCAGAGAAAAGTCCAGCTCCCAGGGATGTGCGCAGCTGAGCGTAGTCCTGTCCCACTCCCACTCCCTGCACACACGTCACAGCCAAACTCCACTCACTGAGCTGGAAGACCCGAGCCTCCCAGCAGCTCCAAGTTGAAGGCCAACGGCGAGGTGAGTGTGGCCAAGCCAACCCAGCATGCAGCCTCCTGGGCATGCGCTCCTGCAACCGAAGACCCCGAATGCAGAGGAAAACCTCACTTCTAAAGGGGTGAGAAGAGGCAAAGGTCGACCCAGTAGGATGACTCACGATGGAAGCTTGTAGCCCTTATGTGAGCGGCAGCCAGAAGCACAATGTCAGCGGGAGAGGAGAACTCACTAAGAGGCGAAGAATAAGAGCAAAGCGCTCAGCGGCCTTGAACCTCTGACTCGCTGTCATTAGCCTCAGGATAAGCCCTTGTGAAGAGGATGGAATCAGGAGGCTGTGTTCAGTTCTGGAAAAACAAACCCTCACCTGCTCCCCAACACACACACACACACACACACACACACACATGCACATGCACACACACACACATGCACGCACATACACACACACACACACACACACACACACACACACCAGTTAGACGATAGGAAACAAGTGAAGAACTGGACCTGAAATGAAGAAAAGGACCTCACATCGGGGAATGCCAGAGGTGGCTCAGGGCCACCTGGCCGTGAGGGACGGGTCCTCTCTGAGCATCTCCCTGGTCAGTTTCCCCTGAGGGGGCTCAACTGGCCGCACTTTCCCAGCGCTGGATGCAAAGCCAGGACGGGCTGCAAGTGGTTGAAGAACTCCACAGAAGCGCCCTCCTCTGCAGTAATGAGATCAAAGGCTTCCAAAGATGCGAGTCCCAGCCAACCAGCTGGCCCAGCAGAGATGGGGTTGGATGGGGAAGAGGGCGCTCGCTGCCTCCTGCCTGCACCGCGGCTTTGCGGCATCTCTGCTTATTCTGCCGCCAATAGAAGGGCTGGGTGGATGCCTCTGCAATGCAAATTGCAAGAAGTAGGTCATCCATTTTCCTCTCTGAGCACACATTTTCAACCATCTCACCTGACAGGAGAGACGTTTAACTGCATTTTAAAAGGCTGCCATATTATCGTGACACTGGGACATTCCGGATGAACTGAACTTCATTTTCCATTTTGGTGTTAAAATTGAATGTGCTGCAAGGGCAAAGAAATTACTGCCTCATGATTAAAAAATCACAACATCTCTTCTTTATGATGAGTAATTGAAAATATTAAAAAGACCCCCCTTTTTTTGCTGTGGGGGAGTGGGGTTGAGAAACCTCAGAATACGGCTCATGTGACCAGTGAGAAGATCTAATAATCCAATCATTTGCTCTGGTATTTAAAAGGACAAAAGAGGATTTTGCTGATAGAATGGAAGCAATCAGGAAGCTTTTTAGCAATTTTCCCTGATTGCTCAGTGGACAATTATAATGCAGTGGCAGCAGCAATATCCTGGAATTACTCCGAATTCAGATATTTCGGTGTTTTCTGCTTGGTCATAAAGACGCTGCTGTAGAGAAGATGTGTATCAGTGGAATGGAGAGGCCAGAGAGAATGAGTTCTGGGCGCAGGAATCCCCCATTCACACAATGGCAAGAACAGTGCCTGCCTGTGTGGAGGTTTGTAAAACCATCTGCATAAAGCCACGGGCGAGAGAGGACTAGCACTACAATGCTGCTCGATACTGGGACCACAGACACTCAACTTGGCATCGCTCTTCTCTTTCTCTGCTTAATCCACATTTACCAACATGGCATGGCCAGCATCTCTCAAGATTTGGTCTAAAAGTGCAAGTAGGGCACAGGGGTTTCTACCAGAGGAGGAGTTTCTCTTCCCCAGGTGTTAGCTGATTTCTTTTTTGTGCTTCATTGGAAAAGAGGTAGAGCGGGCTCTTGCACACTAAGAGCCCGGATTGTGGTCAGTACCTTCAAGGGAATGATTATGTGGCCTTGGCATCGGTTAGATTTGCATCAATCCTTGCACAGCCCTAAACAACTCTTGGGGTTTCTCTTTCCATCCAGAATGTCTCTGCTCTGGTGGTCTGGTCACCCTGTTACGGAGCCCCAACAGAAGCAGTTCGCTCAACTTGTTGGTAAGTTGCAGACTCATCTGGTCACTGACAAAGGACAACATCAGAGGAAAAAAAAATCAGCATCATTTAATAAGAGTATGTGGGGAGGGATGACACCCCAAAAGGAGTATACAAATGTCTTCTCTGTGTGGCCCTTCAAGAGGAGCTTTTCAGCTCAGAACACACCCTGCACATCCGGCCAAGGCACAAAGCGATGAGGCCATCTAACTGTCAAGAAGCAAACACGATGGTATTTTTTTCAAGGATCTCAGGTTAACAGAACCACTTCACACACCCCAGCGCTATAATGAAAAACCTTCCACTGACCTTTGGCAAGAGTCGGAAACGCCCAGCCTGAACCTGCTGTATTGGAAGGCTGTGACCTCATGTCAGGGTGATGAGATGGTTAATGTCTCTAAAGCAACAAGAAAAGATGATTCTCCTGTGCCAAGGGATATAGCAAGAGGAAGGGAACCACAGGTGGCCTCTGGGACACGGTGGCCCTTGGGTGACCGCGTGTGCTCTGGGAGCCAGGCATGGTCTGAGCTGTGCTCTGACAGAGGATTTTGTTGTCCTTCCAACTGATAGCCGCTCCTGGACCTTTGATGGTTCAATGAGCATCGAATGACTTATAAAATCTGAAAGATTATCGGTTGTATAGCTGAACAAATCTATAATGAAATGAAGGACCCAAAGGCTTTTAATATTGAACACATAAAAGGAAGTATATTTAAAAAAATTGGTCAAACTGTCCTGTTAGTTAGCATTTTAAAGGAATTTACAGGGCTGTTATAGATTATTCTTTTGGAATAATTCAGTTTATAGCAAATGCCTAAACTGGTTTCTTCATTGCACAGTATATTCTCTTAAAATGGGTGCTTTTAAAACAATTACATACATTTTAAAAATCCTCATTTCTTTGCTTAATTAAAACGTTAATACTCTCAGACAACACAGATCTGAAATGGTGAAACCAGCAATTCCCCCTCCCACCTTACAACAAATTAAACTGAGACAAAATTACAAACACATTTCACTATATGATTATTATTAATAAAAATCAGTTTTGTTTTTGTTGTTTTTTTTTTAATAAAGTTGCCCGAAATGCAAGGGATGTGCATAGGTTTTACAACTTAGTCATAATAGCATCTTATTCTTATTCCCTGGGTGTGCCCCGTGAACGGAATGTACTTGGCTGTAATTACAGATCGTTTTGTCCAACACAGACACACCGACAGCATAAACGCTCGCGACTGTCCACATGCATTAAGAGTCAAGACCCAAGTTCAAATCTCTAAAAGGTTTACAGGGGGGCTTCAAAGAGACAGTATCACATCATCTGGATGTCACATAAAGGACTTAAAAAAAAAAAAAGGCTACTCTAAAAAACAGAAGAGAAAAAAGGCCTTTAAAAATTTCTGACTGTTTCGTCATCACTAGACTGATTATTTCAAATAAATAAAGGAGAGAAAGAGATTCCAATCCATAAAATCAGACTCTAAAAAGAATGTAGTATTCCACCCCCGGTCAAGGTAACAGAATCACTGTTTATTATTATTAAAATAGATTATAGAAAGCAGCATCTATTTTGTGCAGTTTTTAGGGGCCTTGGAAATAAAAAGCTATGATTTCAAAAAATATAACATTCCAAAGGATTGAATAATACATACATTTAAAGATACATTTTATTAAAGTTTAGGAGAACTGATTAAAAAAGATACTGTCTCTTTAAATTAGTGTGTAATTGTTTTTCTCCTCCTACCTATTCGGACATGACAATAATTATAAATGTAGGTCACACTACAACTAGGTAGTCTCTAGGGACCACGACCTGCTGACACAAGGCCGATAACAAAGAGGCGTTTCCATGTATGAGGTGGCTCCCAGGTATGTGTCAGGTAGCTGGGGACAGGCCTAATAGACCCAGGACACGGGGACCCACTGAGGGGCTGTGCACACGAGCTCCACGGCTTCCTCCAGGTGTCTGATTGTCTCATCAATTTCATTGTTGATAATTGTGAGATCGAAGTAGTGTGCGTATGTTCTCTGTAAGATATCAGACTCCTTCTGTAGGCGCTGAAGAGATTCATCCTGGACGGAGAGGGGGACGGAGGCAGGGGCGGGCAGGGGGGGAGGGAAAAGTAGAGAAGAGAGAGGTCAGCGGGATTCTTTCTCTTTGCACGTTTCTGTTCGTCCCCGTGTCAGAAACAGTCAAGGCCGGACCTCAAGGTGCCGCGTTGGGGCACAAGGCTGAGTCCGCTTCATGACAGAGGAGACGAGGGACAGATCTGGGTCACAGGACTCCTGCTTGCCACCCAGACCGCTCACCATGCAACAAAGAGCTCCACGCCAAACCGGACGGACCAGAGAAAACACACACTCTTCAGCAAACACATTACCAACCCCTCCTCCCGTCCCCCAGGCCTAGCCGTTCTGTCTTCATTCCTCTGACCCAGGCCCCTCATCCCCAACCTCTTTCCTGCTCCCTGCTCGGTGGGAGGGCTTTGGGGTGAGTGCCCGTCCCCCCTCCGCCCTCTGCACTCGCCTGCTCCGGGCCCTGCTGCCTGCGCACCTAGACGCCCTTGCCTCCGGACAACAAATTCAGTCGCATTTTCCTCTTTTCTACTTAGAGGCTCAACATGTTCCGGGAATTCAATTACATATAATGGCCCTCAACAGCAGCGGATGCCATTGGCGAAAGCTTTCTGGATGTTACAGATAATGGATGAAACAAGGCTATTTCCCAGACACAACAGCGACAGCATCTGGTGCGTCCCCTCAAATTGGTCTGGACTGGAAAGGGCCAAATGTCACCGCTTAGAAGTATGCACATCTCTGAGGGGACACGGAAGCAGAGGCAGCCGCTGGACTCGGGAGTCTGGCTACAGTCAAGAACTTTCCCTCAGCCCTGACCGGTGTGGCTCAGTGGATAGAGCATCAGCCTGCGGACTAAAGGGTCCCAGGTTCGATTCCGCTCAAGGGCATGTACCTTGGTTGCGGGCACATCCCCAGTGGGAGGTGTGCAGGAGGCAGCTGATTGATGTTTCTCTCTCATCGATGTTTCTAACTCTCTATCCCTCTCCCTTCCTCTCTGTAAAAAATCAATAAAATATATTACACAAATAAAAAAAAGAACTTTCCCTCAATCCAAAGCTTGTTACCGACTCTGAGAACTCTTGCTGGCTGAGCCCACAGCAAGAGGACACTCAGGGCCCCTAGTTTGTCCTTGAGAGGCTACCGTTAGCCTCAGGGTGGCACTTCTTTCAAGATCAGGGTCTCCTAAGAGTCACCAGAAAGTCCGCCCCTGCATCTTTATGGATCACAGAACGTTGCACGTTCAATGGACAAGTTCAGATGTGAAACCAGGCAGCTTGCTCAGCCACACTACCCGCCCCCTTCTCCTCCAGCGCTAGGCAGGCGAGCTATTGGGTCGAGTCTTAAAATACAGCCAGATGCAACGAAACACCTGCTGATTAGAGTAGCATCTGTCTCCCCACCTAAAACATGTCCTCGGCGTTGGGCCTTGCATACAGTAAGTGCTTAATAAATGTTACTGAAAGAACAAGCACTGGGCTGACTCCTGCTGGCCATTCCCGGATGTGATGAGTGCTAACTCCCTACTCGAGACACAGAGCAGTTCTCCCAGGACGCGGGCGCCAGAAAAACTCAGGGTTGCGTGCTGCCAGGGACCTGGGAGCCGTGGTGCCCGCCTCTGGCTTAGGGCCCCTCCTCTTCCCTGGGGCCCATCTGGGGTTTGGCAGAGAGCCTTCCCAATGCACCTGTGGAAAGGGGACCCAAAGCGACACTCCTGACTGCATCGTGGCGCCGCAGTGGGGAGGGACAGACAGCGGGGAAGTGAGAAGCCCATCTTTCCTCCCGGACGCTCTGTAGGGGTGTCCTGCCTGCGCTGCCTTCTCCCACCAGGACGCCGTGACGTTAGGCGGTGACTGCTGCCGTGTTGATAAGACCTCGGTTCATCACCTTCTGAGGCCGCATCAACACCCTCTCCGCTGGCACTTCAAAAGCATAGTCTTTTCACTGTGGCTTCATTTTACATAAAAAGCGCAGGGGTGCTCGCCCCGGGCAGAGAAGGAGCGGCTCCCACATGTCCCCTGAGCCTGGGCTCCTAGGAGACACCGGGTCCCGGGCTCCCCAACCACCAGCAGAGCCTACGATCTGCTCGGAAAGCTCTGGGGTGATGAGAACGTTCCAGGGAGTCCAGGCCGAGAGCATGGCATTTCGGATGCAGTTCTCAGCACAGAAAAACTCAGCTCCCTCCCCGGATCTGAGGGGACGAAGCTGTATTTGTCAAGCTTCTTCCTCCACAGCAGCTGCGGGGGTGGGGGTGGGGGGTGGGGGGGAGTTTGCCCGGGAGCAGGATTCCACTCAGTGAAAAGAAAATGCCTTTATGCCAACAGCAAGAGCGAGGGCCCGTGGGAGTGAAACGCTACCGGCTACACCTGCGCAGGGAAACAGGCGCGATTCCTCACCGCCTAGCTGGTACTTACAGGCAATTTTCGGCACCATTTTGGCAGCTATGGAAAATGAGTGAAAGGGCGGGAAGACAGGCAACACAAACACAAAAACAAAGCAAAGATGGTGATTCAACAAAAATCCACGGCAAAGGAGAAGCGCGAACCACCACGCGCAGCTTCGAACGTGTCTGCGGATGACATCAGAGGGGGAGCAGCAGTTTCCGAAGGGGCACCCCTTTCGCAAATAAAATGCCCAAAAGTCATGGCTGCAAATACAGGCCACACAGACATCTAAACATTTCCTCTTCCTTAAAGGTACAGGGAGCGAACGCCGCCAAGGCCTGGTTTTCCTGTCCTGAGCAGAGCCTAGAGCCCCCTGCTGGCTCCCTGCCCTGCAGACGTGATGGACTTCAGGAGGGTTCAGTGTGGGAGTCTCCCCTGAAGAATGACCCCCAGATCCAGAGACCTGGAAGCATGGGACAGAGTGCGGAACCTCAGAGGCAAGGCGGGGGAGGGTGGGGGTGGGGATGGGTGGGGGGAATCAACCAAGGACCTTGTGTGCCTGTATGCAAACCCATGGACACAGACAATGGGGCGGGGGGCAGGGGCGGGCTGGAGGGGGTCAATGGAGGAAAAAAGGGGACCTGCGTAATACTTTCAACAATAATTATGTAATTATGAAAAGAGAAGAATGACCCATAGCAGATCAGCACCAAGGAGCCCTCCCGGCTGCCTGGCAGGCCTCATAGGGGGCCCAGCTCATCCCTAGGTTTGCGAGTGTCCAGGGCCAGCGCTACCTTTAGGCGCTTGGCTTCGTCCCTATCAGGAGAGGAGGGCGGAGGGGGTGTAAGCCCTTTAAAAGGACACCTGTTTAAACTCTTTCCAAGTATCCCATGACCTCCCTCATATGTGGAATCCAATGAACAAAATAAACTGATGAACAGAGTGGATCCAGAGACATGGAAGCATGGAACAGAGTGCGGAATGTTAGAGGGAAGGGGCGGGGGAGGGAGGGTGGGTGGGAAGTGATGACTAAAGAACGTGTGTGCATATATGCATGGCCATGGACACAGACAGTGGGGTGCTGAGGGCCCTGGGGCGGGGTCAGGCTGGAGGGGGTCGATGGGGGGAAAAGGGGACATGTGTAACACTTTCAACAATATTTTAAAAAAAGAAGAAATAATTGGAAAAAGAGTAGACTTATTGATTAGGCCAGGGGCCCTCAAACTTTTAAAACAGGGGGCCAGCTCACTGTCCCTCAGGCCGTTGGAGGGCCGGACTATGGTTTAAAAAAAAAACTATGAACAAATTCCTATGCACGCTGCACATATCTTATTTTGAAGTAAAACAACAAAACGGGAACAAATACAATGTTTGTATTTGCATGTGGCCCGCGGGCCGTAGTTTGAGGACCCCTGGCTTAGGCCATAGGGTGATCGCGCTGGGACCAAGGCTTGCATTTGCCTAATGACTGATCTCGGAGGAACACGCCTCTGTCGGCCTCGTTCCTGACACTGAAATAGGACCACAACCAGGGACATCGCCACGGGGCTGTGGTCCTGGGCGCACAGCACGGAGGGCCCTGCTGGGGGGGGGGTGCGTATGCACGTGGGAAACACCGGTCAGTTCTTACCTCATTCAAACCCGGGGTGATGGTTGGTGCGGCAATAAAAACAACGAAAGGAGCGAACTCGGCGGTTCTCAGGACCTTCAGCGCCTGCGTGAGAAACACCCGAGACTTAGAGGGTGGAAGGTGCCACTGTCACACGCCCTTCATCCACACGTTTTCCATGGCCAACGTGATGGACCACGTGTGACTCCCTTTCTTCCGAGGGCGAGGTAAGAGCCATCAGCAAACAAAAGGCGACAGACTGGACATTTTTCTTATGCATCTCATGAATCAATCTGACGGGTTTTTCTTCAGAAAAGGGAACACTGGCCATGCTGCTTGAAGGCTCGCTTAGAGCTGGTTACTGATTGTAGCCGAAACTTGAATGTCTAGCAAGTGCACTTTGGGGGAGTCTGGGACCAGCCGGCTGGCCTCCCCACCGATCCACAGCCCGCTTCCCACTGCAAACCCCAAGTTGCTAACAAGGATGGGCAGATCATGACCCCTGGCACCGTGAGGCTGTGTTCGCAGCATATGAATTGCCCTGATGAAAGGCGCCTGTGGGGCTGCGGGGGGGGGTGCTGGGGGGGGAGACCCTGTCCGGAGCTGGGGTCTGGAGCCACTGGAGCAGTTGGGGGCTCTAAGCAGTTCACAGGCCTGAGGAGATGCTACATCCCAGGGACAGGGGCCTCCAAGCCCCTGCCAGCTCCCTCCCCTGGCATCCAAACCTCTCGCTGAGTTGGCACAGCTCACACCCCTCTGAGGAGCACAGTTAACACGCAGGCACGCACGCCACAGGCTGGGAGATGCAATTAATTTGTCCGCATCCGGGGTACGTATCTTGCTGTCCTTTGGTGAGACTTTCACATGTCTAGTCTGTGATCCACAGATTTCGCTTTCACAATGGCCTTTCCCATGGCTGGCTTCGCCCTATTCCTTTCCTGGCTGACCGAGTAGCAATGAGACTCGTGTCTGTGCCTGCAGTTTCGCGACGTTCCAGACGCAACGGGGATGAAACATGGTTCTTAGCACAAATGTCAGACTCCCGGCATGAGCTGGCCCAGGCTTTCCGGTCAGCCTGTCTCTGCCCCCCCCCCCGGCCCCCACCTGCGTCAGTCCTACCTGCTCCCACCTCACAACCGCAGCAAACACGCTACTCAGAGGACGCGAGCTCCCTGCATCTCGCCCTTCCCTGCGCACCGCACACACGCCCTTGGCCATCACCCATGAAGACACGGTCATTCTGCATTTCCTGCATGAAGCTGGCAATGAAGCCTGCGCTCATCACATGGCCAGTTGCCTCTTGTGCCGAAGAACCAGGTATTCCTCTAGCAGTGAATTCGGAGGCGGGGACGGGCCCGCTTCTATTAGCTGGAAACCACGTGATCCATGGCACTGCCCTCTTTGTCCTGGTTGCCAGAAAGCTGCATTTCACGTTTAGCAAAAGGAATTACTGTAGCTTCTGTGGCCGCATGATTGCTTCCCCCTTCTCATGGCTTTAATTTTCTGTTTGTATCCAATATTACTATATTCCTAAAAATTATCAGATGCCTTGAATCCTGACTGACATTTTCTTGTCTAGTCGCCTTTATATCTTCAGCAGAGTCACCACACTTTCCCTGGGTTCCTGAAGGTCCCTGTTCCCCACCCTCTGCTTAACTTATGGGTCCCAAGTGCTTGTCATTCATTGTGCAGCCTTAGCTTGCCTGAGGTTCAAGGTCACTTCACAAGGATCTCCCTCCCTCAGGCCTTGAATAGGTGGCTCCCCGATGATCTCTGAACCCGTTTCCTTTCTGACTTTAGATGAGACACACATTTGTTAATATTTACAGGCAAATACCGCTTTTCTGAACCCCAGAGAGGGAGTCTAGAAAGATCCCTGGAAACACACTGGATCCAAACAGCCAAAGTAACATGTATGTAGCATTTAAAGCGAATTCTTCAGTTCTCTTCTGGGGAGAGAAACTGATTGTATGGCTCATCTATGGTCAGTAATTAATCTCAGGTTATTGTCTTCAAGGAATAAAAAACCATTTGACCAAGCACCTAAGATGCAGACCTCTTTAACATTTATTCAGTTTGCAAACTTAAAAAGTACAGAAGAGCCTGAGTCATTTGGTACAAAAATCTAAGGAAGAGCTTAGATTTTTGTATAAAGTTTAAGGGAGAGTATAGTGAGCCCAGGAACAATCTTAAGAGAGCCAGCGGGTTCCACCAAAGCCCCCGGGCCAGAGCTGGCCCTTGTTTTGAGTCTAGATTCCTAATGAGACTGCAGCTGCACCTGGAGGACAGCCTTTCCCTTTGTGGGCCACAGCAAAGCACAAGCATTCTGCTACTCTTAACTTTTAATGCAGTAAATGGCTAAATCAGAATCAAATTAAAATTTAAAACTGCCACAGCAAGTTCTGATTACACACTGGAGCCATTGCAGTTTCAGTTTTACAGATAGAGATGGTTTCCTGAGCCATGGCTTTATTCCCATGAGAAATAAGTTCCATAGTTTTTCTCAGGTTGCACTGTGTTCTAGATTTTTCTAAATGCAAAACACCTAAACCAAAAACGTACCAACAAACCACAACCACCCCTCCTCCCTCCCAAAATACCACTCCGTACAAGGTGGATCAGCTTAAGGAGTCTCAGGGTTCACTCTTCTAGGCTGATACAATGAAAGGAGGCTAGAATTTATTGTAGGAAACCTAAAACCCAAACTAACACTGTTCAAGTTTGAACCTCATTTTCAATGGGCTGTAAAACCTTGGCCAAGTCATAATTACGTTAGCCCTGGTTTCTTCATCTACAGAAGCAGATACTGGTGTCTCTGTAAGGCAGAGAAAAAAAGGCCTTTCCTTTTCTTTGCGGTGGCCTTCCACAGTTTCTGAGAAGCCCCTGGTAATTAAACCCCAAGACTGCTGGCTCCTCTGATTCAAACAGCCCCTCTATTCAAACTGAGGGATAAGATAAGTTACTCTCAAGGCCACATTCTTGCATCCTCCTCCTCCCTGCTGTTTTTACAACTCAGGGGTAATTAGTAGAAAGTTCCCTTCCCCCTTTCCCTTCAAATAAGCCTCTTTTGAACTTTTACTCTAAGCATGTTTTACAGGCCTGGGAAAAATACTGATAAGACACCTTCCTAGGACATCTGCCCCGACTATCTTCTGAAGAACTAACAAACTACAACCCCCCTGATGTCTGCTCAGTTTCAGCCCCCAAACCCCCCTCCCTTCCTTGTCAACAGCAGGCAAGGCTTTAAAAAGGGGAGTAGTTTGGTTTTTGTTCTTTGCCTTTACATTGACTATCAATACACCAGCCCTTTCCCCTCAGGAAAAGTAAAATAAACTCTCTCTCTCTGTATCTATCTCTTCTCTCAGCTGTGAATACTCTCACAGCCCAGCGTCACCAGCCTAAAAAACCCTAACAATCTCTAGCTCAGGGTTCCAAGGATCAGGTAAGGACTTCTAATGCTTGGCAAGACAGAGAGCGCTATGGGAACACAACTTATTATTATCATTTTAAAGAAGCCAGGCTACACCTTTTCTTCTAGTTTAATGTCTTTGCCATGGTTCTGGAGGTTTAAAGTCGGAGCACAAAGTCTTACCATACAGTATTATTAGACATGTGTTCCATTTGGCCTGACTGTCTAAAATAAGTTAAGATGGTCCCAAGTATTCGACCGGAACTAAACGAGCTGAACACCAGCCGTAGGTGGTCTTTCCGTGGCCACATGCAGTGGGGGTGGTGTCAGCAGGGACAGAAGCAAGAGGCCTTTAAAAAAGGCTACAGGGTGTTGCTCCCCTTCTGGACACTCTGTGATGCCCACAGAGGAAGGACTTCCATCCTCACCAGCGTGCCTTCCCATTTGCGTTCTTAGCTCCTGGCATGGTGCTTGGCACACAGAAAGTGCCTAATAGGAGCTGGATGAATCAAACTGTCCATGAGATACAGCGGAGGAGGTGACCTGAAAGGCTGGGGTGGGGAAGGCGTGGAGAAAAATGTCCCAAGGAGAGAGCGTCCCCAGAGCAATGAGGCTCAGCCTGGCAGCAAGTCGGTCATGGCCACGGGCATCCTGATGTCAGGATGTGGGCCTTGCCAAGCCTGGGGACACAGTGGCCTGAAGGTGGAGGGCAAAACCCAGTAGGTGAGGCCCTGTGGGCACCTGCAGCTGGACCATGGGGTGCGACATTCAGTGTGAGAGCAGGACCGGGCATAAGTCTAGACTGAGCATGTGTGGCTCCGTGCGGGAGAGCCTGGGACCAGAGTGGTCAACCGGACCAGCGGGGGGGACAGGACGTGGGCTCAGGAGAAGAGGATGCCTCAGGCCGGCCCTCAGGGGTGGCTGGCCCTGCCAGGTCATGGTCCTCAGAGGTGGGGACACAGGAAACAGGAGAGAAGAATGCAGTGAGTCCATCCAGCAGTGGGGGGGGAGGGGCCGGGAAAGTGCCCAGCCAGGATGAGGGGTGCCCAGGTGCCCAGGGCCACACATAAAGTGATGGCGTGGATGTCCTGAAAAGGCCGAGAAGTGCCCCCGCCCAGCAGTGCAGAGCAATGCATGGCTGTGCAAGGCCAAGGGCAGGGGCACAGGGAGAGCTGGGCGCCGGGGGTGGAGCGTGGCGGCAGCAGCAGCAGGAGCAGCGGTGGCAGCGGCAGGGGAGGCGGAAAGCCCTGGAAAGGGGCCTTAGGAAATGCGGGGGGGTCTGAGCCCTGCAGCCAGCGAACCGCTAGAGGCATTACTACCAGCAGAAAACGACGTTCAGGTGAAGACCAGTGTGGAACCCAAGGAGAGGACGCCGCAGACCAGGCCCAGGATTGAGACTTGGCCTCTGGCCAGCCCTGGCCAGAAGGTTTTTCCAATCCCTGGTGAGGAGGGATTAGTCGTTAACAAGGATCCAGGTGCGGCACACAGCATCTATCAGTTCTATGCAGGTCCAAGGTGATTGCTAAGCACATGTCTAGCGCTGGCCCGCCTCCCAGCCCCTTAACCAGATTCCAAGTTCAAGAAGCCCATCAGGTGCCGAGAAACGGAAACGGGTGAACCCACGGGCCAGGGTGTTAGCATCTTGGAGCTGAGCAACTGAGCTGTTGGGTCACGCAGACCCTGAGCGCAGGTGCCATTCTCCCCTTGGGGATGGCTAGGGGACCAAGTCTCTCAAAGCAGCCCTTGAACAAGGACCTCCCCTGCCTCGGATACCCAGGGAGCCTCCTGATGCAATGGGGCCTGCTGGTCTACCATTCCATTCGGATTCCATTTACAAGTGCGAAGGGATTTGGGGCACAAACAGGTCTTTAGAAACGGCAGCTTGGGAGCCCTGGGACCACAGCCTCTCCGACAACCTGCCCTGATGCTTCCCACTCCTGAGTCCTTCCTGTGGGACTTGCTTTGATCTCAGGAAAAACACAGTTTATCTGCATGGTTGCCGTAAGGCCTTGGGCTTTTTCCTTCGTCGGTGTAATGATTTCTATTGCTTCCGGTGTGGGACTTGTCTATATAAATCATCTGATCAGCTCCATGTTCGCCACATCCCTCCTAGTTCTAGTTCTAGTTCAGGGTCAGGCATCTCATCAGTAAAGAGATGGCAGAGGCTGACAGCCACCTCAGGCTCCGTTCCGGCTCCATCGGTCACCCCAGGGCCCACTCCCGCTCGCTTTCATAAGGCTGGTGCTGGGTTTCAGCCCCGGGCCCCAGGGTCAGAGTTCCTCGCTGGGACTAACCTAAGATGCTGGCAGAGGCTCTGATGGTCCAGCATGAGCTGCACCCAGAGAGGTCCAGTTGGCTGTTGGGATAAAGTGCCCGACTCTCACCTTGAGGCCAGATTATTGTAGGATTTCTGACCGGCAAGACCCCACCAGGTAGTCATTGAGCTCCTGGGTATAAGGAATCTCATGATAGGATAGACTCTGCTTCTTAAATACATGGTGTGTGCACCGAGGCCAGCAATTGGTTTGTAGTCTGGACCGCTAACCCACGATGCCTTCATCACTGATCCTTTCCTGTAGTTTATTCAATTATGCGACCCACGACATTCTGATGGCATTTTGATGGCAAAACCCGAGCTTAGCATGCAGGCGGGATGACGGGCGCTGGATAGGGCCGGGCGTTACCTGAGGCTCCACGTCCAGGATGGCGATCAGGCCCTGCTCATGGATCTTCCGGATGGTCTCCAGCTTTGTTCCATACATGGCGTCCTCGTGGCTGCCGTACTCCAAGTACTCGTTGTTAGAGATGTCTTGCATCATTTGGTCGTGAGATACAAAGTAATAGTTCTTCCCGTTTTCTTCATCTTTCTTTGGAGGTCTGGTGGTATCTGCAAAGTCACACGTCAAGAGACGATTAAAAGGCTGAGTGTGTGCTCCCAGTGGACCTACCCAAACCTAATCGCTTCTTTTTAAAAAAATATATTTTATTGGTTTTTTACAGAGAGGAATAGAGAGTTAGAAACATCGATGAGAGAGAAACATCAGTTGCCTTCTACACGCCCCCGACTGGGGATGTGCCCGCAACCAAGGTACATGCCCTTGACCGGAATCGAACCTGACGCTCTATCCGCTGAGCCAAACCAGTAGGGCCCTAATCGCTTCTTAAGGCTGTGGATTCCACAGTACATGCCTCATGCCCTGTTCCCATCCTGAGTAGCCTGTAGCACTAAATTCTAGAAGTTGTATTTATCTGCGTGACATCAGACCACGGTAGCTGGCGAGTTGTTTGGTTTGGTGAATCTTCCAGTGTTTAGATAAGATCTCCTTCATTCTTTCATGGGTCACCACATGAGAAAGACACAAAACGACCCGAGTAACGTGACTCACTGTATACCTTAATGCAGCTAGGCAGAAGGAAAAAAGAATGTAAAAGATAGAAAACTACCTATGGTTATTTAAATTGAAGATCAATGAAAACGTCAGTTCCTCAGTCTCACTAGGCACATTTCCAGGGTTCAGTAGACACACGTGGCTACTGGCGACTGTGCTGGACAGTGAAAATACTGAGAAGGTCCATTGGGTTCTGCTCATCTGGAGCATCTTGCACAAGGAGGATGGCAGACTATAGCAGAGGCATACCATACTGAACACACAATGACGTCAGCCCGATGTGGCCACCAGAGTTAAGAAAGACCTTAACCAGGAGCTGGCAAACTATGGCCTGTGGGGCAAATATGCCCACTGTCTGTTTCTGTAAAGAAAGTTTCATTGGAACACAGCCACACCCATTTCTTTCCATACTGTCTATGCCTGATCTTCCTTCCTTCCTTCCTTCCTTCCTTCCTTCCTTCCTTCCTTCCTTCCTTCCTTCCTTCCTTCCTTCCATGGCAAGGACACATTTGTGCTACTCTTTGCTGAGTGGATGGGTTCAAACCCATAGGGAATGCCCCCTCTCCTGCCCCAACTAGACTATTAGAACTTCCAAGTACTCATGTGCATCAAAAATGTGGATTTAAAAAAAAACAATCCTTTCTCCAGGTACATGGAAAGTTCAATAAATGGCATATACTACGTGGATGCTGTACTGTCTTCCATCACTTTGGTAGGTAAACATATGACATACACACATCTGGGGCTAAATATATCAGAGAGGTGACATGCTTGAGGTCAGCAATGGTACGCTTTAAAACCAAGCTAGTGAACTGGCCCTTTAATAACATTAAATTGTTCAACAGCTGTTCAATTATTATGTGATCTGGAAGAAACGAAATGTTGGCTAATTTAAACTTCAGAGTAGTAGTAATATTATACTGGTCGGATGGCTACTATTTATCAAGTATCTGCTAAGTGCTTCACATGATCGCAAATTCTCTTTATATCTCTAGACCAGGGGTGGGGAACCTCTGGCCCGTGGGCCATATAAGGCCTGAGAAATCATTTGGTCTGGCCCTGCCAACGCATTAGGGGTGAGTCAATTAAATGTATGACCAAATAGAGCAGGCTAATTAAAAATTTTTTGGGGGTTGATTTTTCTTTGTTAAATAGCATTTAAATATATAAAATAAATATCAAAGATATAAGTCTTTGTTTTACTATGGTTGCAAATATCAAAAAATTTCTGTATGTGACACGGCACCAGAGTTAAGTTAGGGTTTTTCAAAATGCTGACACTCTGAGCTCAAAAGGTTCGCCATCACTGCACTACACATACCTGCACCAGAGAAGTCTGGGAGGGTATAAAAGAAAATATTTATAGCACTATTATTAGGGGGGTGGGGTTGGGATCATTAACTCATTTTCTTCTTTGTTCTTTTTTGGATCTTCCAGATTCATTTTTTTTTTATTGACTTCAGAAACGAAGGGAGAGGGAGAGAGAGAGAGAAACATCAATGATGAGAATCATTGATCAGCTGCCTCCTGCACGCCCCCCACTGGGGATCGAGCCTGCAACCCAGGCCTGTGCCCTGAGGAGGAATCGAGCCATGACTTCCTGGTTTACAGGTCAATGCTCAACCACTAAGCCACGCCGGCCAGGCCCAAATTTCTTATAGTGAATAGTTATTACTAATTTAATCAGAAAAAATAGATAAATTACAACATTACACAAGTACTAGAAAAAATATACTTAAAAGAGAGACATTGCTTACGTGGAATAGGGTACGCAAACCGGTCCGGGTGCTTTGTGATGAGGGTGTTTTTTATGTGTCTTCTCCCAACACCATGCGCGCCTGTGCCATTGTTTGGAAAGGAAGGGAAAACGGACAATTGTTAATAATATTCACAGTGTTCCGAAGACGAGAATAAGAAAACCACGTGTTTCCCCAACCAGACTCACCTAATAAGACTAGTGTTTTCCTTTTGAATGCTGGCAGTTTTACTACTTCTTCATATGTAACAAGATCTAATTGATCAAACACTAAAATGCAAAGATTTAGAAGACAGGTAAATTTGCAGGAAGAATAGTTCACATATGTCAATGACAATTTTGCTGGCGAAACTAAAGCAGTAGTAAAACCATGTCTTAAAATATCTGAATCCGACTTGGAATACGTTTAAGTCATACAACCTTTCGGAAGAAAATGTCATCTTTAAGCCCATGAAAATGCACTTCGGAAGCAGGGGCAGCCAAAGATACGTTGAGCACATGCATGAAAGTCCAATTCTAAAAGATACGGCCTATCTTTCATGCAGTAGCCAACAAATCAGACGAACTCATTCAAAACCACATGCTGCTCATCTCTTTGCGATTCTAAGAAACCAGCAATACTAAAAAGGAGAAAGTCTGCAGACAGCGGCCAACATGAATATAGAATGAATGCAACTACAGAGAAGCAAGAAAGAGGCCAGTGAGGCCAGCTAGGGATGGATGTGGGATGCATGGACAGCTGGTCTTGAACTTCATGGTTCTTTCTCTCAACCGAGTTGCTGAAGGCAGCATGCTAGATGCTCTCAAGGTCAAGTTCTGGGACTATGATGTCACAGGCGTTTGAAATGAGCATCTCACAGGTCTTATTGCGACCCAGCTATCCATTCGATGGAACTCGTGGGGACATGAGTAGGAGACAGGCTCCGCTGAGCCCCAGGCTTGTGGGCCTGTGAGCAGTAAGTGAGGATGAACACGATGGAAAGAAGCATGAAGCAGAGCCTTAGCTTGAAAACCTTTGCAAAAGGGAGTTCTCTCATCATTACAGACTGAGAAGAAATACTTTAAAGACATTTTTTGGGGAACCTGCCTCTTAACAGAACTATTACAAAAACTTTCCCAAGAGGACAAACCATTCCTGTGGAAGTTCAAGGCAGTGTGGTTCTCAGAAAATTCTCGCAAGGCGGCTACAACCATGCACCGATGTTTCCTGTAAGACTATTCTACATGGTTATGCAAAAATGTGGTCAGGCACATGGCAATTTCCTCTTTCAGGGATACGGAATGTGCTATGGATTTTAGAGGGCTGGAGGGAAACTCAATAAAATGGATTCCCTGTGTAATAAAGAATCGAGGGTGTTTCAGTCAATCGTTAAGAGAAGCTTCTAGGCCCTGCGACAAAATGGCCAAATGCCTTTGAATATCAGCTCAGTCCTTAACTGTCTGTGATCTTCCCAGTAGCAAAGAACCGTAAAATGCAAAGTAGGCTACTCTGGAATGCAACAGATCGGAAACAAACAAACAAACAAACAAACAAACAAAGTATCATTCCCAAAATATGAAAAGAAAGAAATGCAATATGCTAAAACAGGGTTAGTGCATGTTAATGGGTATTTCTGCGTTTGTTTTCTTTTGAGAACTTGGTTCCATAAAGCAGCGGTTCTCAACCTGTGGGTCGCCTAAGACCATCGGAAAACACATATATAATTCCATATTGTTTTTGTGATGAATCACTAGGCTTTAATTGTGTTCAATTTGTCACAATGAAATTGGGGGTCACCACAACATGAGGACCTGTATTAAAGGGTCGTGGCATTAGGAAGGTTGAGAACCGCTGCATGAAGGCTGACTGAAAGTCTTTCAAGCAAATGCTCTAGCAACGGCTAAAACCCAAGAAGTGCTTTCTGCGTCTGAATGACAGCCTTGCAAAATCGAAATGAATGCGAGGCTCTCTGCGGTGGTGACAGGGTGACGAGAGTCACCAAAATATTTAAAACCAGGAGTGCTGACGACACTGCTTTTTCTCCCTACTGCCCTCTGGGTGGCATTTCCATCCAGGAAACGTGCGCTAGTGGAAGAGGCGCATCAACCAGCTGGCAGACTTTAATAGACAAAATATCAAACCTCTCACAGAAGAGCAAGGTGATAATGACACAGCTTTCTGAATGGTGGGTACACCACTTCCCCTCTACAGAGCCTAACTCCAATCCTACTGAAACAAGACCCGTCATTTTCCAAAACACACAAGAACGAGTTAGAGTCACCATGGACACCACAAACAAATGAACTGGGGTGTTACACATCGATATCTTAACCTTAAATGGGTAGCATGAGGAGGTTACTCTGCTCAGAATCAAATCAACACGTGGCCAGAGGATTGCAAAACAATCAAAAACAATATTGGAAAAGAAGACGTACAAAGGATAGAAGGAGAACACATAGAGATCGGACTTTTACAGGCTTTAAGATGCTTGCTGATTAAATAAGAGGGCGTCATGAAAGAAAACCATCAAAAACAAAGAGGCATAGTCACCCAACAGTTACTTACATGCAGAGGCCATTGGGAGTAAGACAGCATGAAAAATGGACAGGGGTCATTGAAATATGGCTTTAATATATTAGTAAAATAAAAGTATATGCACAAAAGAAACTTTATCATGCAATATTCTCAACACGAGGCAAATCAATCACATTAAGAAACAAACCCATTTAATACAAATTCAGCAACACCCTTCTCTCAAAGCCAGCGGCTTTCACACGCGAGCAGACGCGTGGAGATTTTGTCTGGTAGTAGTTACAAGCAGCCTTCTTGGGTTTGCATTTCGGGCCTTTCTGTACTGTTTGCCACTCTAATCACCTGTGCCTATTACTTTTCTTGTTTAAAGAGAAAAACGTCCACAGGGCAGTGAGATTTTGGGCCACTTTTTGTTGCCTTTAGCGTCCTCTGTATTCAAGAAAAAAGTTATAGCTTTTTAGGCAGTACTAATCTGTGGCATGAAGCTTAATTTAAGCACGCCGATGAAATCCTCTATGTTCATCCAGATGTAAATAGGGTCTCAGGGCTCTAACATTGAAAAAATGAACGAGGGAATATTTTTTCGAAGTTTACATGAGTAACGGGATCTGCAACTGATTTCGGAAGTCCCAGGACGAGGAGCCTCAAGGCCTCAGGACTGCGGTTCCCCCAGCACAGTGGTTGGCAAAGTGCGGCTCGCGAGCCAGACGCAGCTCTTTGGCCCCTTGAGTGTGGCTCTTCCACAAAATCCCGACTTCTGCGCATGGGCCATGAAGTTTCAATCGCACTGTATGTGCGCGCCCGCACGTGGTATTTTGTGGAAGAGCCACACTCAGGGGGCCAAAGAGCTGCCTGTGGCTCGCGAGCCGGTTTGCCGACCACTGCCCCAGCAGCATGACAATCTTCCCCATCAAGTTCATGTGGCTGCAAACTTGGCCGCATCGCAGAAGACGGGCTTGCTGCGAACACTGTACACCATGGTCACATCTATCCCCAAGGCTTCAGAAATACTGTCTGGCGCAGTTGGCTCACGTGATCTTGACCTCCTGGGAAGCCACTGTTAAGTATTTAGGTAACCCCTTTCCGGTGGAATCTTCTTCATAAATAAGCCTTTAGCACTGATTGCTTGTCTCTGCTTGGAAAAGCTAGAAGGGTCTTCAAATACTGTACAAATCCTTCCGTTAGAGAAGACAGCACACGGGGGACACTGGGCCGAGCGCGCACTCTCGTGCCTGCGGTGACCGGGCAGCTGGTGTGTTGACATGAGTGGGCCGGGTGCAGGAATGCAGTGGTGGGGACAATGGCCCTAGAGAGAGTGTCTAGAGAATGAGTGCCCCATTCAACAGGGACACCAAGAGCCTAGAGCCGTGAAGGAAGAAAGAGGGCCTTTTGTTACTATATTCTCTGTTCTTCTTGGTCTTCTGGGCCTGATTTTCAATTGTGATAACTGTTATTATTATTTTTAAAGTATATTTCTATTGATGTCAGAGGGGAAGGGAGAGGGAGAGAGAGAGAGAAACATCAATGATGAGAGAGAATCATGGATCGGCTGCCTCCGGCATACCCCCGACTGGGGATGGAGCCCGAAACCTGGGCATATGCCCCGATTGGGAATTGAACCCTGACCTCCTGGTTCCTAGGTCGATGCTCAAGAACTGAGCCACACTAGATGGGTGATAGCTATTATTTTAAACGCCGTGAGTGTATGTGGAAAACAAAACTTATTTATAGGTCATATTCAGTGAATAGGCTGCCACTTTATAATGTGAGATGTAGGCAACACAGTTTGCAGAGAAGTCTGCTTTAATTAGACATGTGAACTCTCCCAGTAACAGAAATGGAAAGAATTAATTCTAGTGTTACCATTCCTATCAGTTCCAGATGTTGACATAGTTCCCATTCCTCATTTTTACTAAAAATATAAACAACTTCAGGATGATGATAAGGTTTGGATCTTGCCACCAATATATGCTGAGTTCTCCAATATTTGAAGCAGGAAAAACATGTGGCCCTTGTTTTATTTGACTGAGCTTTATGAGAAGATGCCCTACTGTGTTTTACAATCAACTTCGGAAAAAGTCCCCAAAATCCTTCAGAAACATAGTTTGGTTTGTGACCCATGAGCCCAGTTAGCTAGTTCTTGGTACTAAAGAACAGGATATTTCAAGTTCTCAAAATATCCACCTTATTGATGGAGGTCATCTGTATTTGTTGCTCTCTCTCTTTTTTGTTAATCCTCACCTGAGGACATTTTTCCATTGATTTTTAGAGAGAGTGGAGGAGAGAGAAAGACAGAAACATTGATGTGAGAGAAACACATTGAGTGGTTGCCTCCTCCACGTTCCCTGACTAGGGCCCGGGCCGGGAAGAAGCCTGTAACTGAAGTATGTGCCCTTGACTGGAATCGAACCCAGGACCCTCTGGTCCGCAGGCAGGTGCTCTATCCAGTGAGCCACACTGGCCAGGGCTGTTTCTCTCCCTTAGAGCAATCCTGTATACAGGCCATGCCGCAGGTTAGGATGAACTTTCATCAGAGCTAAAAGCAGAACAGCTGACACAATGTCTGGCTTCCTTTTCTGCCTTCACCTCTTGTCAAGAGTCAAGATGATCATGAAGCAAATGGTTCGTCTGCACTTTCGAATGAGCCACATGGAAGTGTTGGTTGGTGAAGAGGAAGGACCCTGAGGAGATGGTGAGAGCAAGGCCAGGAAAGCCGACCAGGAAAGCTTCTGGGCGACTCAGGAGCGATGACTTTGCGGGGAAGGGCACCCTGACAATGACTGTCTGACTAGACAATGACAAACGAGCCTGAAATACCAGTTCTACAGAGAAACCTGAGAGGCTCTGTCAGGACCTTATAAGAGGCTCAGACCGGCCAGCCAAGGGCTCAAAGCAGCGTCTCATTCGCAGTGACAGAGGCCATCGGGGAAGAGGAGGGGACATGAGGAGGAAGGCCCCGGGGCCCAGAAGACCACTGCGTGGGAAGAAGCTGAAGAGAACAAGAAAGCGATGGCGGTGGGTCCCCCACCTTCTTAGTTCCAAGTTTACAAGAACTTAGCCCTCGGTTTTGGCTCGGAGGTAGGAGGTCAAAGAGAAAAAGCCATCTGTCCTATCCCTACGAGGCCCCTGCCTTCTTTATCAAGGGCCTGGTGGAGAAGGAGCCCGAGACCCACCAGATTTCAGAATTAGAAATGGTGCCCCGACTGGCCAATGTGATCAGTGATCTTCGAGCTGCAATGACTCGGGTGTGCGGACTCCTGGGCCCAGCTCCCATCGCCTACGATGCATCAGCACAGGCAGATGGGAGGCCAGGGTGGCCCAGGTGACAAAGCAGGGGAACAGGGGAGAAGGCAAAATGCTGAAGTGAACGAGGCAGCGGATTCTTGCTCAGCATGTAGAGGTTCTAGTTTTTCAATCAATTGACTTTGTATTTGTCCTCAGAGCTGAATGAGGGGAGATGGGCCAATGGCGCGCTCCTGTCACGTGCTATTACAGTGGGGCCTTGACTTACGAGTTTAATTCGTTCCGAGACTGAGCTCGTTAACTCAAATTACTCTGTCAACTCAATGCAAAAAATCGGCCGAGAGACAGCTGGTATCTCAAAAAACTCGTTAGTTGGGACACTCGTAAGTCAAGGCCCCACTGTAGTAGAATGTACAGCCAGCGATGAACTGAGAGCCTTAAGCAGCCACTTCTTTGCTTTCCTAGGTTTAAATGAATTTTAATGTCGTCTATCTATCTGTATCATTTAAAATTATTATAAAAATCACACAAGGATATATATACACCTCTACATCAGCGGTTCTCAACCTGTGGGTTGTGACCCCTTTGGCAGTTGAACGACCCTTTCACAGGGGTCGCCTAAGAGCATCCTGCATATCAGATATTTACATGACGATTCATCACAGTAGCAACATGACAGTTAGGAAGTAGCCACGAAAATAATTTTATGGTTGGGCCACAACGTGAGGAACTGTATTTAAAGGGCCAGAAGGTTGAGAGCCACTGCTCTACATATATATACACACACATATATAAATAATTTGTGAGCCTGTTAGAAGCTGATGGAAATAAGGAGACTACAGAGGTTTGGCAACAACCACTGACATTTTGTGGGCAATAACATTCTGCTGATACGGCAGTGACTTTCCTCAAATTGTACCACCTGAGCATTTACCATGAGGAGCCACTAGGGTCATGCCTAACGAATCTGCTTTAAGTCTCTCTTTATAAAACCAAAAACCCATTAGCAGCCTATTTGTTGGACATAAAATGTGGCCACTCGCATCTATTCCACATGACGTAGGACTTCAACATGCTTCCTTTACTCTCTGAACCACAAACGAACCCTTGCGAGTTTCTAAAGCATTTTTTCTAATGAATGCTAACACCATCGCTTGAACAGTCTGCAGAGAGAAAGGCTTTCCTATTGGTCGGACTGACCTGTCAACGGGCATGCGTGACTGCGTTCACTTGATTTTTTTGGCCACATGTTTGATTTGGGAGTTATTTCTGAAACCCTGGGAACTAATCTCATGCCACTCTTAGATCACCACGCACTTTCTTTAACTTCGGTGAGCCCTCGGGAGTCCTACTGCAATGACAGGTCATGCCTTTTGGGGGTTCATTTCAGTTATTGGCAAACAAGTGAGCCTTTTGTCTTAAGAAAGGCAAGCTTCCAGAAAGGCAAGCATACCATGAAGGGAAGGGCAAGGTAATGCTCTTGGTCTTTTAGGAGCCAAGGAAATACCAGTGAGGGAAGAAGAGTAGCCACAGAACCGGACTAAACCAATTTAGTATCCGATGTCACTCGTGCCCTTTCAAACCGATTACCCAACCATCGGCAGCCCAGCTCTCTGTTAAGAGTGTGCCTCTGCCCTTTGAAATGTGCCCCAGGGCCAAGTCCAAGGGCCGGAGAGGAGCCAGGAGCAAGGGCATTTGCTCAAGACCAATCTCAGCTAGGAGGCCAGAGTCTTGGCGGCTCAGCAGTCTCCCAAGCTCGCATTTCTCAGGGGAGGACTTCATGTACTGGGTTCTTGCTGTTCCGGAGCCTGCTATTGCCAAATAGCGCTTTCTTCCTACGAAGTTGAGTTCTGCAATATATCTGGCAACCAACCCACATCATATGGGAAGGCAGGGGTTCTTGAACGGTTTTGCCAGCTGATGAAGCGCTCACATGCTGGAGTTTGGGGACAGAGAACTCTGAAGCCTGAAGGACAAGTGACCTGTGTGTTGGGCTCTGTGGTGTGGAGCCGGCCGCAGCGACAGCCGGGCGTGTCCCTACCTGCGTTGTGCTTGGCCAAGTACTTGTCCTTGTACTGCTTCTTCTTCTTGCCAAACCAAGTGCAGCTGGCCTGCTGCTCCTGTTTGGTCTTCTCCATGGCGATGCAAGCCACTCGCCTAGCGGACCAGGAGAGAGAGGGAAAGAACGCATGTCTGGTTTGGTGTTGACCAAAGAGGAAAATCACTGATTTGAAAAATCACTGCACGAACGTACTCCTCACTAATTTTTCAGGTCTTTCAGCTAAAGCCTGTTCTTTGGCTTTCATGGCAATGTCCTAGAAAGGTCTGAAGAACACCGGCTCATCATAACATGACATCGTGTTCCTTGAGCACACAGTAACGGATAACACATGAAAAGCCTACACCCATGGCCATGACATGCGGTGGAAAGAGCACGGGATGTTGAGTTGATACAGGTCTCGTTTGACCGATTTAGTGTTAGGTGCCTTTCTGCGCAATTTCCATGTACGAACTCATGGAATCTTTCAAAGAACACACCAAACATGTTCTCACTCCAGCAGCTCCCTTATGCTCTTCTGAAACCGCAGGCAACCACTGTGGCTACAGATCAGCTTTGCATTGTCTGCAATTTCATCGTATAGAATGGAATCCTATAGTTCGTTCTCTTTTTTTTGTGTGTCTGGAAATATAATGATTTTGAGTTTCATCCATATTATTTTGTGTATTCATAGTTCATTCCTTTTAAAAATATATATTTTTATTGATTTCAGAGAGGAAGGGAGAGGGGGAGAGAGAGAGAGAAACATCCATGATGAAAGAGAATCCTTGATTGGCTGCCTCCTGCACGTGCCCTACTGGGGATCGAGCCCGCAACCCCGGCATGTGGCCCGACTGGGAATTGAACCGTGACCTCCTGGTTCATGGGTTGACCCTCAACCACTGAGCCACACCGGCTGGGCAATCCTTTTGTTTGTCACCAATATTTGGAACGATTAGTAGAGGGGAGAGCTCAGATCAAGTGCATGGCTGGTGTTGCCCTCATTGTTCCAGGCTATGTGTCCCTATGTGGGAACCCATTCCAAACGCACCTCGGGCCAGGATTTCTGTCCTCCTTCTGCAGTCCTAACTGTGGGAAAGGTCCCCTAACAGCCTCCCCTACTTGGACGGGCCTTGGTCTTAACCTTGGTCCCCTGGCAGAGACGTTTTCGCTAACAGAGATGCCCGCCTGGCAAAATGGGCCACTTCAGTGCTTTAATTTTTATTGCTCTGACTGATGGCTCTCATAGAAAAATCGGTCGCTGAGTTCCCCACTACCTTTCAGCGACTCAGTGCTTTCAAGGTAATTTCCAGAAGCCTATTTTCTACAGCACTTTTCTTTTCACTCAGCAGCTCTGGTTCAAATAACCCAGCCCAGCGAACAGGGAACAGGAAGCTAAATGGCTTTTCCCACTGCCCCCTCTCAGCATTGCTCCAGAGCGCCTGGAGCTCTGGGCATCGATGAAGCATGATTTATACAAATGATCTGAATGGGCAGAAGAGGCCTGGAATCTACATAATTATTCTCAGAAAATGCTCATGATATATGGTTAACATTCCAGAAGACATTTCCTATGCACGGTCGGCGTGGCTCAGTGGTTGAGCATCGACCTATGAACCAGGAGGTCACGGTTCGATTCCCGGTCAGGGCACAGGCCCGGGTTGCGGGCTCGATCCCCAGGAGGGGCCGTGCAGGAGGCAGCCGATCCATGGCTCTCTCTCATCATGGATGTTTTTATCTCTCTCTCCTCTCCCATCCTCTCTGAAATCAATAAAACATATTTTAAAAGGCAAAAGATTTATGCGATCTGAAGAGAAGCCAGAGTATCAAATATATTTTAAAAAATGACTCCTGCTAATGCTTAAGCTGTTTCTTGAAGGTCAAACTGAAAGACAATGCCAAGTGGAAGGCTGCTGTGTCCTCTCCCTGGGCCCACAGCCCCTCGTGTGAAAGGATGGCTCGAATATTCTAGATGTAAGAATATTTGGGGGGAGCATGGATAACTAAAAGAGGCAATCAAACGAAAGTGATTAATGGAGAAATTCCTTTAATTAGTGAGACAAAGGTGTGGGGAGGAGCTATAAATAGCCATGCGCTCAATGCCCTCCGTCTCCCTTAGCTAGGTTCACGTCTCCCTTAGCTAGGTTCACGTATTGTGGGAGGAACTGACACAATGTCTACTGCTTCTTTTTTGTCACAAGGAACAAAGCTCAGTCATATCTATCTCTTTGGCACTAGACTTCTGATAGATTGTCAAAGGACTGACAAAAGTAAAACCTTCAACATTATTAAAATAGTAGTTCAGCTAAGCCAATTTTAACAATAACAGCAGAAATAGACTTTACCAGGATATATAGTAACCTGTGACTCCTCCTCAGTTAAAAGTAGGGTCTAAAAACTGTCTGATGCCCTGGCCGGTTTGACTCGGTGGACAGAGCGTTGGCCTGTGGACTTGGGGGGGTGGGTGCCGGGTTTGATTCTAGTCAAGGGCACATGCCTAGGTTGTGGGCTTGATCCCCTGTTGGGGGGAGTACAGGAGGCAGCTGGTCCATGATTGTCTCTCATCATTGATGTTTCTATCTCTCTCTCCATCTCCCTTCCTCTCTGAAACCAATAAAAATATACCACCCCACCCCCCGAAAAACTGTCTGACTTTAACCTGCTTTCAAAGCTCCAGCTTCCTAACAGACATACATTTAAAGTCCTCAAAGGTAAAGACCAAAGTGCTTGAGAATCATGGACCGGCTGCCTCCTGCACGCCCCCCACTGGGGATCAAGCCCACAACCCGGGCCTGTGCCCTGACCGGGAATCAAACTGTGACCTCCTGGTTCATAGGTCCATGCTCAACCACTGAGCCACGCTGGCTGGGCGTGAAACACATTTTATCTTCAAACACCCTGAGTGACACTGAATCGGGGCACTTGAGTGTTTCGCTGGTGGTGGAGTGGGACAGGGGTGGTGACAGCATGTGGAGGGATAAGGAGAGGGACATTAGAAAACTGCAATTCTGCCCTAGCCGGTTTGGCTCAGTGGATAGAGCGTTGACCTGTGGACTGAAGGGTCACGGGTTTGATTCCGGTCAAGGGCATATGCCTGGGTTGTGGGCTCAGTCCCCAGTGGAGGGCGTGCAGGAGGCAGCCCATCAAACTCATCATTGATGTTTCTATCTATCTCCCGCTTCCTTCCTCTCTGAAATCAATAAAAATATATTTTAAAAAAGAGAATATCTTACTCCTAAGTAAATAACAACAACAACAACAAACTGCAATTCTAACAGGATTGAAGCAGCATACAGGAGTGGAGGGCTCTGCTAAGAGACCACAATGTGACAGGGACCCGAGGCTGTCCACTCAACCTCTCTAGAGCAGGGATGGGGAACCTTTTTTCTGCCCAGGGCCATCTGGATATTTATAACATCATTCTCGGGCCATACAAAATTACCAACTTAAAAATTTGCCTGCTCTATTGGGTCAAGCATTTAATTAACTCACCCCTAATGCCTTGGCAGGGCCAGACCAAAGGATTTCTCAGGCCAGACGTTCCCCACCCCTGCCCTAGCCCCTCCTCGCCTTTATGTAACACGAAGATCTGACTGGATACGTAGGAGCGCACTAGACGCCGAGGATGTAGCATTCTGGAATGATGAACTTGAATTGTGTCTGGCTAGTAGAGCAAGGAATAGATCAGGGTTGCCACTAGAAAGCAATCATATCAAAGTGGAAAAATGGACAGGCAGGGCTTCGTTTTTTGTGACGAAACAAAACAAAAGGAGAAAGAACGTACCATTCCTGAAGCTCAGGGGAAGGAATGAGACCCGCAGTCCCGTTTTTGGAGTTTTCCAGTTTGCCCTGCCACCAATTGTGATCGTCCTTGCTGATGATCTGGATGATGTCACCCACGCGGAACCGGATGCCAGCCTCCTTGCAGGGAATGAGGTCGTCCTTGGCGGGGTCATATTCAAACTGTGCTCTCACATAGATCTACGGGACAGGAGTGCGTGAGCACGGAGTCCGGGGCGGCGCGGAGCCCGCAGCGCGCCCCCAACAAGCACATCCCGACACCCCCGATACCAACGGGACACTGGATGGCGAGACGAAAAGGATGTGTGGAAATACAACACAAAGACCCGCTACCACGACACACGATGGACCACTTCGGATGGGCACAGCTTTAAATCTTCGCTGTGTTTACTTGGGGGGAGCACTTAAGATAACTGTTTATTACAACTAAAGACCTAATAGGCCTGTGATGATAGAGACGTATGCTTTCCATTTAGAAATCGGCATGAGGTCTCGTGGGTGTGATGGATAAGTTGTCGTGATGACGTGGCAGCCATGAAGCCACCAACACAATCATTCAGGGTAGGTTTTAACCACGAAGCAGCACGTGACGTGAAACTAGCAAGAACGCTGCCTTGGCACCTTGCCCTGAAATGCCTACAGGGCGACCGGCAGTGTGTGGGCACGCAGCTGATGAACTGAAATGTGATTCAAACCATTTAAAGAAGCATTTAAAAATAGTTTTAGTTTGGAAAAAGGATGTAGGGCCCGGCCATGTGGCTCAGTGGTTGAGCGTCGACCTAGGAACCAGGAGGTCACGGACTGATTCTCGGTCAAGGGCACAGGCCCGGGTTGCGGGCTCCATCTTCAGCAAGGGGCGTGCAGGAGGCAGCCGATCAGTGATTCTCTCTTATCATGGATGTTTCTCTCTCTCTCCCTCTCCCTTTCTCTCTGACATCAATAGAAATATACTTTATATTGTAAATGTCATTAGTAAATATCATAAAAGGAAACACACTAGCAAGTCAGGGGCTGGCCTACGGCAGCGTTTTTAGAATTCCTGGATGTCTAAAGACTTTAAGGCAGCGGTTCTCAACCTGTGGGTCGTGACCCCTTAGAGGTCGAAGGACCCTTTCACAGGGGTGGCCTAAGACCATCGGAAAACACATATATCATTACATATTGTTTTTGTGATGAATCACTGTGCTTTCATTATGTCCAATGTGTAACAATGAAATTGGGGTTCACCACGCCATGAGGACCTGTGTTAAAGGGGCGCGGCATCAGGAAGGTGGAGAACCACTGTTCTAAGGTATGGGGCGCGCTGTATAGCTTACTGAGTCCTAATGCTAAACTGTGGGCGAATTCCGTCAGGTGCTAATTCACGCCAATCTGAACTCTACACCTGATTATGTTTTAAGACCGCATTTCAAGAAAAAGCCCATAAAGATTCTATCTCTTGAAATTAAATTTGAATATTAATGTCTAAGTCACTGTAAAGCCGACCTGAAGGCTTTGGAACGATTGCATAATTGTTTCCTGTAAGTTTCTTTGCAGAAACCCCGCCTATAAAATTAGCAAATCTCTGCATTTGCACCTAAAAGCCATCCTTGGGAGGAACTGAAAGTTACTGCTGTGGCTGGCAGCCCTTAAGGTTTCATGTTGCGAGAGGTCTCAATGCCAGATGTGTATGTCCTTATTCTTCATTGTCAATGCCGCTGAGAAATATTCATGCAAATACAGATACTAAAAGGACTTCAAATTTCATAAAATTATTACTTAAGAATGTTCAGCCCTCGCCGGTGTGGCTCAGTGGATAGAGCGTCAGCCTTTGGACTCAAGGGTCCCAGGTTCGATTCCGGTCAAGGGCATGTACCTTGGTTGCGGGCACATCCCCATTAGGGAGTGTGCAGGAGGCGGCTGATCGATGTTTCTCTCTCATCGATGTTTCTCTCTATCCCTCTCCCTTCCTCTCTGTAAAAAATCAATAAAATATATTTAAAAAAAGAGAATGTTCACCAGGATGTACATTTGAGTTATTCTTACAATCTTAGAAATTTTGTGACCTGTAACATTTTTTCCCACCCCAGCCAGAGCCAGGCCCGTAAGACCCCCAAAAGGCTGAATTCTTAATCACTGACACAGTGATCAGGTTGAAACGACACTAACCATCGTAGCTACAAGGATGTGAGGGGAAAATCTTTATAGCGAATTAGTCATGTTTAATGTGTTAAAATGAAATGGTACAAGCTCTCAATGCTCAAATGTTATGGTCCAAAATGCAGACATTATGGGATGGAGAGGGTTAATAAAGGATTGGCTATTAGCAGCTCAGTTTAGAGAAGTTTCTAGAGAGGATGTCTATTCACCTGTCGTCCTTTTGGTTGGGTAGTTGATGGCAAGTCCTGTAGAATAGAGCCAACCCAGGAGAAAAATTTTCATTTACTTTTCAAGAGTACAAGGACATTTGTGTGTTCTGTTACAATATGGTTAAAAAAAATGAGCTAGATTTAAGTTGTAAAGAGATAATACACATTATTCCATTTCTCAGAAATGTTGAATTATTAAAAAAATTAGCCATTTAGCAGCAAGCTGAAGAAAGCAGGTAAGTTGAAGCAGAGAGAAATGTGTTGCTAAGCAACAACTCAGCATCTTCAACACAAAAGCCACAGCGAGTGAAACAGCCCTATTTCAACAACAACCCCAACCAAAAAGAGTTGTTGCTCTTTAAGCTTGGTCACTGCCACCATTTAGATTTTGAAAAATCGGATGGCTCTATGGATTGTCACCATCTGAAAAGTATTAAATGTTCACTGTCAGAATGAATTCCTTTATAGCCTATTTGAAGTTGAAAATAGAAGCCATAGGGAATTTTCGTCCATAATTTTACTTAATGATATCATTCCATTTGAGATGATGTTGAAATTATTTAAAATTTTACCCGATAACAAAGTTGATATATTTTTATTTTATTTGCAAAAAGCTGATAGATTTTTAAAGGGCAAATGAATAGTCAGAAAAGAGCGATACTGCTGCATTATCAGAGCTTTCAATACTTTGAACAGCAATACCAGCAACTCGGAGGAGACTTTGTTACCCCCAAATATTGCACACTTGCACCTGTAAGTGCTTCCGTTTGTTCAAATAAACTAAAACCAGTTCTTTTCATATATCAAAATGGAAAGTTCTGGGGAAAAAAAATAAAATTCCAAGTTCAAGTCAAAACATAAAGTACTTTGTGTTAAAGATGTGATAACAGCGTGGCTTAAGTGCAGATTGAAGCCAGTTCCTTTTGCTTTTCATATCCAGGCAAGGTTTGTAATTCACAAAAATATGTGCACGCACCACAAAAACAGAGGGCACACCAATTCATAAACTTAGATAGCGGAAACTAAGGCATGTCGCTGACGTCACTCGGAATAGACCACTACAAGCCTAAGACCCAAATGCCTGCGCTGCAAAATCGGTACATTTCTTTCTCTTTCTCAAATTAAAAAACACTTCGAAATTTCAACAAATTTCCAGTTACATCCTTTGCGTAAGTTTAAGCGAAGTCATAAAGACTAGTGGGGTGACACGGGAATATCTGGGGGGTGACCAAAGGAGTGTTGAACTGCGTGTCTTCAAATTTAACTAATGGGAGGGGCTTTATGGAGAAGAAAATGTTGAGAAAGATCTTCCAGGAGTTCTGAACTGCATTGTGGCTGTAGTAGCTTCGTCTACCGGCAGAAGACATATTGCCACTGGACACATGTAACTAGAACACTCATGGCAGGTGGCACCAACAGAATTGTCACACTTGGCCGTGTGAAGCTCGAGTTCTTACCGAAACAGAATTGTTAGTGCTGCTATGACCATTAGCTGGGGACTGTCTGGAAGTGGAGGGGGAATCTCTCTGAAATAAGACACAAGGTTCATTAACAAACACCAGCACAGAGACAGATATATTCACATCAACAGTTACAACCACAGTCCGACAACCATTTCCTCTGAGGTTTCAGCTGCGAAGGTGCCGCACTGACTTACTTGCGTGATTTCACAGAAATCAGAAAAAAACTTTGCAGTTTAGTCACACGCTGTAAGCGATGACCGTGTCATTCATGAACCACTTCTCTCCTGTCTCCAGCACTCTCTACCCTTCGCTTTCTTTAAAGGAGACGCAGAAAGTGGCTTCATGTTAGAACCCTACCTAGTGCTATGAAATGACAAACGTTACTATAACATTATTGGGCTAAAGACCCCAACTGCCTACTTTGTATTACAAAGTAGGTTTACAAAGTATTTAGAAAATTTTTTGGTACCTCAATGTCAAAAATTACTGAATGACTCCATTTGAGGTAAAACTAACGTAAAAAAAAAGACTTCCCATGTTGCAATCGCTTTGGGATCTTTCTAGGACAAACATTTTCAGAGATTATTCTTTGAATCAATCCGCTACAATGACCTAAAGAATAAAGGTCTCCTCTCTAGTGTATATCTGTGCTTTATTCTTATTTATAATATTTGTCCTATTCGACGCACTCATGCTCCTTCCCCAGCCCCACTCCCTTATTGTCCAAATCACTTTTAACGCGAAGACCAAGGAGAGGAAGGGAAGTAAGTGTTTCAACATTTTTGGTTTAGTAGAGTTCTCTGAAACCTTTGAAATGTGCATGTCTGCTTAAAAGACATGTCCCCCCCCCCCCCCGAAGATTTAAAGAAAACTTCTGGCCCGGCCGGCGTGGCTCAGGGGTTGAGCACTGACCTATGAACCAGGAGGTCACGGTTCGATTCCCGGTCAGAGCACAGGCCCGGGTGGCGGGCTCGATCCCCAGTGTGGGGTGTGCAGGAGGCAGCCGGTCCATGATTCTCTCTCATCATCGATGTTTCCATCTCTCTCCCTTCCTCTCTGAAATCAATTAAAAGAATAGAATCTTCTAAAATAAAATAAGTAATGGGATCCCTTAGATGAACCTTCTCAAACGTTAGTGAGCAGACTGATCTCTAGGTACCACCCCAGAGACTCCAGGCAGTAGGGCCGGGGTGAGGCCAGGGGGATACTGAGGCAGGTGGCCAGAGAGCCTTCCATTGGGAAGTATGGCCCCAGCTGGGGAAGGTCCCACCCGGGACATGAATTCTGCCAGGAGGTCAGACAGGCTGTGCTGGGGCTGGGAGGGGAGCAGGAAAGCAGGTACGAGGGGGCTCTTCTTCCGTAAGAGTGTAGAATGTACACATGTCACACTCGCCCATCCCAAACACAAGGGAAACTTATGGGATCTTAATAACTGCCTTCTGGTTCGTTAGCCAGAAAAGACAGAAATCCATCGTGTTTCCTACATTTCCTCCATGAGAAGAAATGGCCAGGACCACCTGGGATTTCAGAAGATCAAAATGCATCCCATGAAATGGACGCGTGACATCGTCTCTTTCCCTGCAAGGTTTGTGTTCTAGGTGACAAACTTCCCAACGACACATCCTGGAGCGGGACTACTTCTGCATTTTCTGTGAAAACACAGTGTTCAGTGAAGTTCCGTCAAAAGCCACCGAGAGGAGCTCAAGGCCTGAGATGAACAGAAACCCCCATCGCCATGGCTCGCTCAACACGCACTTGACCCAACTACCAATTCGTCTGCGTCTCTTCGACAGGTTCAGAGACACAGGGGCCTCAGATGTGTCCTGGGAAACGGACAGTCTTGCTAGGGAAGGGGAGGAGCGTGATCATTCCTCCTGCAACGCTGCCCGAGTACAAGTGCCATTTCCTACACGAGTTCCGCCCTGGTCCCTGCCAGGCTCACAGAGGAGGCGCTGGGAAGTGTACGTCGTGTTGCTGTGCACACCCGTGGGAGATGCCCATGGGAGAACAGGCCTCAAAAATAACCCTGGAGCCGGTGAGCAGTGGCCGAAGGGTGCCACCCCCGATGCCACTGTGCATTTCCAAACAGAAAAAGAAGAGCCTTTGGGATCTCATTCAGTCACCAACACGAAACTGAGCGAGACAGGCAGCAGTGACCATCTCTATCAGCCGAGCCTCACGCGAGAAAGAAACTTGGGGTTGTATTGTTCTAGAAAACGTGTTTACGAACCACCTAACATCCCAAATTTATACGATTCCACGGCAGGTTGCAAAAGCCTCCATCCCTCTAATAACGCCAGTTAGCCACTCCTCACGCCCCTCGAGACCTGGCTCATGATCTGACCAACTCTGTCTGGACACCGAGAGAAGCCGCCTCTCAGATTCTTGGAAAGAAGAACAAGAACTATCTGCGTGATTTCTTAACAAGGGGAGTGACTGTACTTCCTGGAAATGTTACCGCAATTCCTTCTTCCCTCAGAGACCCCGCTTTCTCTGTATTAAGGCTACGCCGTTATTTGTAGCTGCTCTATGTTTTGCTTCGACTCCGGCCCGCAGGAAGTTCAAGTTGAAGTCCCCATGGAAGCAGGGCTGAGTAGGTGGAGGGGACCTACTCTGTTCCGTTATCTTGGTTGCAAAATTGGTGTGCAGTGATCAACAGCACAGGCAGAAACCATTTCCCAGAAAGCCAGACATTCAGCCAGGAGCAGACAGGGAGGGAGGGACCCAGGGGAGCGGGGCGGGCGGGGAAAGCCATTACCTCACAGGACGACGACTGCGTGCGGTAACTGGGCACGATCTTGAAGGTGATACTCCCGCGCATTTCCCGCTGGAGGAAGAAAGGACAGCTTTCTTAGCAAAGCCATGTTGCACAGAAAACACGGAGGAAGCTGCTCAAAACACGTGAGGACAAGGAAGCGAGGCAGCTGCGAGCGCCGGGGCCTAGACTGAAACTGAGTCATTAAGCTCAGGGTGCAGCGCAGTGCCTTGTCCATACAGCAGAGCCCTGGCCCTGACCCTGACCCTGACCCTTTCATAGACATGAATACAAAACACGCTAAGTGCTCTGTCTTTCCAAAGTGGCACGGGATCTCAGAGGGAAGGTGGGGAGGGTGGGTGGGGGGATCAACCAAAGACCTTGTATGCATAGATGCATGGCCCATGGAGGCAGATGGTGGGGTGGTGAGGGCCTGGGGAGGCGGGGGTGGGCTGGAGAGGGTCAGTGGGAAAAAGGGGGACATATGTAATGCTTTCAACAATAAAGACTAAAATAAGTGAATAGAAACTGAACTGGATAATCGAAAAATACTGAAAAATGTTTGGTAGGCTCCAGCATAATGCTATATGTCATAAAATTTGCTTTTGATTTCATAACTAGAGGCCTGGTGCACGAAATTTGTGCACGGGGGGAGGGGGGCGGGGGGTGTCCCCTCAGCCCGGCCTGTGCCCTCTCACAGTCCGGGAGCCCTTGGGGGATGTCCGACTGCCGGGAGGCGGGAGAGGCTTCCGCCGCCACCGCTGCGCTCGCCAGCCGTGAGCCCAGCTTCTGGCGCACTGACCACCAGGGGGCAGCTCCTGCATTGAGCGTCTGCTCCCTGGTGCTCAGTGCATGTCACAGTGACTGGTCATCCTGCAGTTCGGTCGATTTGCATATTAGCCTTTATTATATAGGATTTGACCTTGGTTTTTACTAGAGTGAGTCTGTGTGCTTATTTCACACTTAATCAATATGCATAATAGGTATTTCATACTTAATCAATATTCATAATAGATATTCACTACGTTGTGGTGGGAAGAAGGTCTGCTCGCCAGGGCCCGCCATTCTGCCCACGCCCCCCACCTCCTTTTTAAAACCCGAACCCTGATCCACACACAGACTTTGGGGGGCACGGATAGAAATGGCCTGATCTACTAGAACTTTCCTCTCCTCTGTGCTGTGGAGAAATCCCACACAGCTGGCTGTGACTCAGCCATGCAGGAAAGGGGTTTGACATTGCTGATGTCAGCAGATTGAGGTCACTGAGAACCCGGTTCAGTTATGCACAGCTGGGAAGGTTTGCTTTAAACAGCTGCTCGAGAAAAAAACCAGCAGATAAAGATGAAAGGAGAGAGCTAAAGCCCGCACCGTTCAGGACGGGCCCAGTGTTTCCAAATGCCGTTGCTTGTGACCATTTTCCTAGTTGTCAGTTTTCATGAATGTTGCATAAATTCAAGTGCACACGCTGGTGGTCCCAGCGATACTCGGATTGCAAAAGAAGGCCCCTTGTTTCTGTGTGAACAAGAAAGCTACCAAACTGAAAGTCAGCCTAGATGAAGAAAAAGAAACTTGCATGTACTCACGAGCATTTTCTGCAGCTGTTCCACTGTTTGGTTAGCCACACTGATGCCATTGATTTCTCGGATTTCATCACCCACATGCAGGGTGCCTAAGAAATGCCACAAGATTATAAACATGCGATGACATACACTTTGATAATCCAAAGAGAGCGATGTAAAAAAATTAAGCTAAACACTGAAGGGCAATATTTCAGAAACAGGGACAAGTTTGGCTCCTGAGGACACGCTAACACAGGGACATTATGATGGGAGACACCGCTTGGAAAGATGGTGGTGGGAATCTGGTAATTTTTCTGAGATAAAAGAACAGTTTCTAGTTCCAGCCTGTCTGGGTTCACATCCCAGCTTCATCGCTCACTAGCTTTAACATCTCGGTTTTGCATGTATGAGGCGGAGGTGACAATAGTACCCATCTCATAGGGCTGCTGTGAGGATGCAATGAGCTGAAGACATGTACAGGGCTCAGGTGTTCGCACAGAGGTTAGACAATGATACACCTTACACCTGGCATGTCCATGGTTACTACAATATTATTGACTATGTTCCCGATGCTGTACTTTACATCCCGTGACTGTTTTGTGACTCCAAATTCGTATCTTTTAATCCCTTTCCGTTTTCCTCTCAGCCCCACAAACTCCCCTCCCTTCTGGTCACCATCAGTCTGACCTTACCATTGAATCTCTATGCTCTTTATCAAATTCCAATTTCTTAATTTATAAGTAGTATATCTCATTCCCGGATGAATGAGACAATTCTTTTTTAAGTTTTTAAAGTTTTTGAAAAATGTTTTCTTTATTTGAGAAAGAAAGGAATGGAGAGGGAGAGAGAGATGGAAACATCAATGATGAGAATCATTGATCGGCTGCCTCCTGCACACCCGCCCCCCCCCCCGAATGGGGATCAAGCCCTGTCAGGGAATGGAACCATGACTTCCTGGTTCATGGGTGGATGCTCAACCACTGAGCCACGCCGGCTGGGTGAGAGAGCAATTCTTGAACTGTCATTAAATTTAAATATCCACATTTCATAGCCTAGAATGGATGTCTTCCATATAACCTGGGGCCCAATAGGATACTTTGTTCTATCTTTCATGGTCTCTACGAAGTCAGGATATAAACAGTGATTCACACACACATGCTCCAGAACAGAACTGTAATGCACCCGCTCTCCATTGTCTACAGGTGAACAGAAACAAATGACTAAACCCAAGAGATCACTTAAATGGATCATTTCTATGAACCACGTATTTAACCGATTTCTTATATGGGCCATAACAACACTTTCTCCACTAGGCTATGGGACAAAAGTGAGAAAGAATCATATATGACACTTACCTTGTCTGTGGATCATGCCCCCATGCATAATTCTTGCAACAATACAATGATTTAGCTCATTCATTTTTAAAGTGATTCCCTGTAAAAAGTTAAGTAAAAATAGAATTACTATAAGATGACACTTGGTTAGCATTTGTGCATTTATCTGGTCCGTAGTTTTCTTGTAATGTCTTTATCTGGTTGGGCACCAAGGTAACGCTAGCTAATAATAATAAAAACAACAACAAACAATGAGTTGGGAAGAATTCCTCCCCTTTCAATGTTTTGGGAAGAGTTTGTGTAGAATTGGTGTTATTTCTTCCTTATATGTTTGGTAGAATTTGCCAGTGAAACCATCTTGCCTGGAGCTTTCTTGGAGGATGGTTTTTAACTACAAATTCAATTTTTAAATAGTTTAGGGTGACTCAGTTATTCCTTCTTAAGTAAGCTTTCATAGTTTCTTGCCTTCCAAGGAACTTATCCATTTCATCCAAGTTGCTGAATTTATTGGCATGAAGTTGTTTCTCATATTTCCTTATTACCCTTTGTTATAGCTGCAGAACGTGTAGTAATGTCACTTCTCTAATGCATGACATTAGTAAGTTAGTGTCTTTTTTCCCCTGATCAGTCTGATCCTCTCAAAGAAAATGTTTGTTCAATTGATTTCCCCCTATCGTTTTCTGATTTCTATTTCATTGATTTCTACTTTGCTCTTTATTATTTACTAGAGGCCCAGTGCATGGATTCGTGCACTGGTGGTGGGGGCATGGCCTGCAGGGATTGGCCCTTGGGGGGGCGGCACACCCACTGTGGGAGCACACTGACCACCAGGGGGCAGCTAGTTTGGGAAGCAAATTGGCAACCCCTTGGTGCATAGGACAAGGCTCAACCCACTGAGCCACATCAGCAGGGCAGACATTCCTGTTTTTCTAACATAGATGCTTAGTGCCACACTCCCGAAGTACTACTTTAGCAGCACACCACAAATTCTGATATGTTGTGGTTTCATTTTAATCCACTTCAAAATAACTTAATTTCCCTTTTGATTTCTTCTTTGATTGATGGTTTATTTGGAAATGTGTTTAGTTTTCAAGTGCTTCGGGATTTTCCCAGAGATCTTTTTGTTCTTTATTTCTAATTTAATCCCCATGTGGGCTGAGAATATACTTTGATGTTAATATAGCCATTCCAGCCTCCTTTTGATTAACGCTATCATGGCTTTGCTTTCTTACAGGCAATATTGGGTCTTGCTCCCCCCTCATCGGACAATCACTGCTTGTTAATTTGGGGGAACTTAGACTATTTATATTTAATATGATTACTGATACAGTTAGGTATGAATATATTTTCTTGCCTTCTTTTGGATTAATTTCTTTCATTCTATTTTCTCTCCTGTGTTGTCTTATTAGCTATAATTCTATTTTGTTGCTTTAGTGACTGCTTTAGGGTTTATAGCATATATTTTTAACTTACCACAGTCCACCTTCAAGTGACATTATGCCATATCACAAATAGTATAAGAACCTTACAGCAGTATACTTCCACTTCCTTCCTTTTGACCTTTGTGTTGTTATACATTTTACTCCTACATGTTATAAACCCCAAACATATCGTCATTATTTTTGTTTAAACTGCCAGTTATCTTTGAAAGAGATTTAAATGATAAGGTTGTCCTTTAACATTTCTTTTTTTTTTAAAATATATTTTATTGATTTTTTACAGAGAGGAAGGGAGAGGGATAGAGAGTTAGAAACATCGATGAGAGAGAAACATCGATCAGCTGCCTTCCGCACATCTCCCACTGGGGATGTGCCCGCAACCCAGGTACATGCCCCTGACTGGAATCAAACCTGGGACCCTTCAGTCCGCAGGCCGACGCTCCATCCACTGAGCCAAACCGGCTTGGCATTTAACATTTCTTATACTGTAGATCTATTGAATTGTTTTGATATATCTGAAAATGTTTTTATTTTACCTTTATTTAAAAAAATTTTTTGTTAATCATTACCTGAGGATATCTTTTTCCATTGATTTTTAGATAGAGTGGAAGGGAGGAGGAGAGATAGAAAAACGTATATGTGAGAGAGACACATCAATTGGTTGCCTCCTGCACGTGCCTGGACCAGGGCTGGGGAATGAACCTGTAACCGAGGTACATGCTCTTGACCAGAATCGAACCCGGGACCCTTCAGTCTGTGGGCTGATGCTCTAACCACTGAGCAAACCAGCTAGGTCTTCCCTTTATTTTTTGAAAGAAACTTTTGCTGGATTTAGAATTGTAAATTGAGTTTTTAAAAAAACTTCCAGTACTTTAAAGATGTTCTCCTTAATTGTGTTGTTTCTGATAAGGAATCTAATATCCTTATCCTTGTTCCCCGGTATGTAATATTTATTTTTTATTTTTTATTTTTATTTATTTATTTTTTAATTAAATCTTTATTGTTCAGATTATTACATTTGTTCCTCTTTTTCCCCCCCATAACTCCCCTCCTCCCAGTTCCCGCCCCACCCTCTGCCCTCGCTCCCCACCCACTGTCCTCATCCATAGGTGCACAATTTTTGTCCAGTCTCTTCCCGCATCTCCCACACCCCTTTCCCTCCCAAGAATAGTCAGTCCATTCCCTTTCTATGTCCCTGATTCTATTATAATCACCAGTTCATTCTGTTCATCAGATTATTTATTCACTTGATTCTTAGATTCACTTGTTGATAGATGCATATTTGTTGTTCATAATTTGTATCTTTACCTTTTTCTTCTTCTTCCTCTTCTTAAAGGATACCTTTCAGCATTTCATATAATCCTGGTTTGGTGGTGATGAACTCCTTTAGCTTTTCCTTATCTATGAAGCTCTTTATCTGACCTTCAATTCTGAATGATAGCTTTGCTGGATAAAGTAATCTTGGTTGTAGGTTCTTGGTATTCATCACTTTGAATATTTCTTGCCACTCCCTTCTGGCCTGCAAAGTTTCTGTTGAGAAATCAGCTGACAGTCGTATGGGTATTCCCTTGTAGGTAACTGAGTTTCTTTCTCTTGCTGTTTTTAAGATTCTCTCTTTATCTTTTGCTCTTGGCATTTTAATGATGATGTGTCTTGGTGTGGTCCTCTTTGGATTCCTTTTGTTTGGGGTTCTCCGCGCTTCTTGGACCTGTAAGTCCATTTCTTTCACCAGGTGGGGGAAGTTTTCTGTCATTATTTCTTCAAATAGGTTTTCAATATCTTGCTCTCTCTCATCTTCTGGCACCCCTATAATTCTGATGTTGGTACGCTTGAAGCTGTCCCAGAGGCTCCTTACACTATCCTCGCATTTTTGGATTCTTTTTTCATTTTGCTTTTCCGGTTGGGTGTTTTTTGCTTCCTCGCATTTCAAATCATTGACTTGATTCTTGCGCTCCTCTGGTCTGCTGTCGGGAGTCTGTATAATATTCGTTATTTCAGTCCGTGTATGCTTAATTTCTAGTTGGTTCCCCAATATAACATCGAGGGTCTCATTAGTTTTCTTGTAGATCTCATTAAGTTTATCGGCGGCTTCTAAACAGTTCTTGAGAGACCTTAAAAGTGTGGTTCTGAACTCTATATCTTCCATTGACAATTTTGTCCTGTTTCTTTGTCTCCGCATTTTGTTATGCTTCCTTGGTGCACCCCCTAGTGGTCTTTGTGCGCAGTCTTATAGTTAAATCTTGATTGTTGTAGCTAATACCAGGGAGGGTTTGACCTCCAGGCCAAGTGGCTATGAGAATCAGCTGTGTCTGCAGTGAGAGAACTTCTGTCCTCTAGGGAGGTGCTAATCTAGCCTTTGCCTGAGGCTATCCGGCAAATGCCTCTGTGCAGGGCTTGGGCAGGGCGGGTCGCACAGGATCAACAGGGTGGGCCGGAGAGAGCAGTTATGGCGGCTCTCAGTCCTGTCCCCAGGGGCTCTGCCTCTCTGAGTCCCAGCACCTGCTGCAAAGCTCGGAGAGAAAGCTGCACTCGCTCTGACCGAAGCCAGACAGTCCCGCTTCTCCCGTTTGAGTCTGGGTCCCTAAAGACTCCCCTGGATCTGGAGCTCAGAGTCTGCGACTCCCTCCCGATTGAAAACGCCAACCGCGCCCTCCGCCGCCAGCCCGCTCCGCGCACTCCGCACCTCAGAATTTGACTTCAGCACTGTGCCTCCTCTGAGTGTCCGTATGCGTTTCTCTTTCCTCCTAGTTGTAGGACTTCCACTCAGCCGGCGTTCCTGTGGTTCTGGGTGCTGTCCCTTCCGTTTTTTGGTTTCACTTTTGAAGTAGTTGTTCAAGGCAGCAAACTCCGGCGTTAACCTATGCCGCCATCTTGGTTCTTGGTCTATTTTTTATTTTTTTGACCTCCGTTTTTAAGATCGATTTGTCAGGGGTCTAAGCAATTTGATGAGGATGCGCCTTGGTGCTGCTTTCTTCCTATTTGTGCTCGGAGTTCACTATGGTTCTTGCAACTGCAGATTTATAGTTTTCATCAGATTTGGAATGTTTGCAGTCATTATGTCTTCCAATATTTTTTCTGTCAGTGAACCTGCCTGAAGCTGTCCCCTACAATATTTCTAGGACCTACCTGGTACCATACATTATTATCACAATATTATCGACTTAAAATTCTCTCTCTCTCTCTTTTGTTTTGTAGAATTTTTATTGCTCTGTCTTCGAAATCCCTAATATCTTCTTTTGAAATGTCTTAGCCTGCCATTAATCCCATAGGACGTTTGGGGCTAATTCGAACATCTGTCAGTTCGGTGTCAGTTGTGATTGATTATTCTCCACATTATAGGTCACATTTGATTAGATGCCAGATATTGTACATTTTATCTTGTTGCCTGCTTGGTGTTTTTTTTTAAAATTCTTATAAAGATTCTTAATTTTTTTTTTTTTTCCCTGGGATGTAGTTCAGTTACTTAGAAACAGTTTAACCCTTTGGGTCTTTAAAAAAATTTTTTTTGTATTGATTTCAGAGAGGAAGGGAGGGAGAGAGAGAAACATCCATGATGAGAGAGGATCATGGATTGGCTGCCTCCTGCACACCCCACACTGGGATCGAGCCTGCAACCCGGGCATGCACCCTGATCAGGAATCGAACCCGGGATCTCCTGGTTCATAGGTTGATGCTCAACCACTGAGCCATGCTGGCCAGGTGAACCTTTGGAACTTGCTTCTGTGATTTATTCTGCAGGTTTGGAGGAATTCTCCATCCAGGGCTAATTATCTCTCCTTCTGAGGCAAGCCCTTCCCTAGCGCCCTACGCAGCGCCTCACGGACTGGTCCTTTGAGTCTGTGGGTGGGACCAGGCCGCCAGCGTCGGGCACTGGTCTCGCTCATCCTTTAGGAGGGTCTTTGCTGGGCTCCAGGTAGCGTCCTCTCTAGATCTCTCGGGTCCTCTCGGTGCAGCCCTCCCCCTCCAGCCCTCTGCCCCATGAACTTCAGGTGCCTGCTTTCCCCAGCAGCTCAGTTCTGTCTCCTCAATCCAGGGGGCCTGCCTGCTTGGCCTCGGCCACCCCTCCCTGTCTGTGGCCTGGAAACTCTCAAGTCAGGAAGATTGGGCAACCCCAGGGCTCATGCTGTTTACTTCCTGTTTCTTAGGGATCACTGTCCTTTCTTGCCTGATCTCCAATGTCTTCAAAACTGTTCTTTCATGTAATTTTGTCTGTTTTAAACATTTAAAAAAATATATTTAATTGATTTTTACAGAAAGGGAGAGGGACAGTTAGAAACACCGAATAAGAGAGAAACACTCATCAGCTGCCTCCTGGACGCCCTCTGCAGTGGATCGAGGCCACAACCTAGGTCCATGCCCTTGACCGGAATTGAACCCGGGACCCTTCAGTCTGCAGGCTGAAGTTCTATCCACTGAGCCACACCGGCTGGGGCAGTTTTAAACATTTCTTGGTTGTTTCAGAGGGTAAACCTGGTCTCTGCTTGGGCTGGGTGCCTATTCCTGAACCCACCCCAGCTTGGGGTCAATTCCTGGCCTTCCCTTGTTTGCATAAGCTTCCCCCTATTGTCTAAGCTACTTCAAGTTTGGTCTTTATCACTTGACACTAAGGGAGTCCCGATCTATAGAGAAGCAATTGCAAGGGCGATATTACAAAGGGGAAAGGAAGGGTGTGATGGAGTGTGTCATCCTTGGGGGGTGGACGCAGCCCAGTGGGACACAGTGTATAAGTTCCAAAATGCAAAGAGATCCTATGGCAGCGGTTCTCAACCTGTGGGTTGCGACCCCTTTGGCGGTCGAACGACCCTCTCACAGGGGTCGCCTAAGACCATCCTGCATATCAGATATTTACATGACGATTCATCACAGTAGCCACATGACAGTGATGAAGTAGCAACGAAAGTAATGTTATGGTTGGGGGGTCACAACCTGAGGAACTGTATTTAAAGGGCCAGAAGGTTGAGAACCACTGTCCTATGGGTATATCTCACGTAGTAATATAATGCTTTTAATAAGACAAATGAGAAAGCAAAAGAAGCTGTGTGACATGTCATAGAACTGTATCACTGAAGAGACATATTGCCCATAACGTCATTCCCATGTTTATGGCGACCAGTCAACAAGAGAAGAAACTCACACCCTGTGGCTTCTCTTGGGGGCCTGCAAGGGAAGCTGCGAGGCCAGCGTATACTTTCTGAGAACAGGAACTCGGGGACGCAGCTGTATCCTGCCCCTCAGCCCGGCTCTCTGCACTCAGCCTTCAGAGAAACGCCCCGGCCGCCGCAGGCCCAGGCCGCTGGAGAACATGAGCACAGGCCGCCCCGGGCCGCCTCCTTGCGGTTCAGTTCACCTTCCTGCCTCCTTCGCGTGGCTCCTCGCCCCTCCTTCCTGCCGCCCGGCCACAGGCTGCTCCCCGCTGCCGCGCCACAGCTGTGACTGTCACCCCTGTGGCAGGCGGCCTCCGGGAAGGGCCCACGGCTCGCCTGCCACGACGTCAGTGGCATCTAAGCCAGTTATCCGCACACAGTAGGCACTTCAGCATTTGCTAAAGGCTTGCAGAGCGCGGTGGGATCCAGGGCGTCAGTTAGTCAGTCAAGGATGCTTTTGGCAACACTTGCCAAGCAACGTCCGAGCAAGCTAAGGCCCACGGACATGCGATGATTTGCTCGAGGTCCCCCTAAGCCCATGGACGGCAAACTGTGGCTCGCGAGCCACATGCGGCTCTTTGGCCCCTTGAGTGTGGCTCTTCCTAAGCCTTAGGAGGACCCTAATGAAGTGAATAACAATGTACCTACCTATCTAGTTTAAGTTTAAAAAATGTGGCTCTCCAAAGAAATTTCAATCGTTGTACTGTTGATATTTGGCTCTGTTGACTGATGAGTTTGCCGACCCCTGCCCTAAGCTGCCACTGCCCGTGTTCTTAAGCCAAACAGTTGCCTGGCGAGCACCAGAGGCGGCGAGGCAACCATGGCCCCTGCCTGCTGCCTATGCTGCCATGATACAGCCCAGCTGGCAAGGAGCAGTGAGAAGGACAAGCTGCCACATCCACGGTGCAGGGCTCCCCGGAACCGCAGCCGCGGAACCCCCGCTCCGTAACGCCCCCTTTAATTGCTAGAGCAACTGGGCAACTTTCTAAGCAGCTCACTCACCTCTCTCTCCATAACCCGGCATCCCTTCTCCATGCGCGGAAGAAAGGGTATGGACGCATGCCACTTGAATTTCCCCCCGCAGATCTGATTCCGCCCCCAAACCTGGGAAACCCTCAAGTTGAGGGTCATCCTTGACACGCGCTTCTCCCTCGTCTCCACTGGGAATCCATTACTGAAGCCCACTGGTTTTCCTCTTTTTTTTTTAAATATAGGTTTTTATTGGTTTCAGAGAGGAAGGAAGAGGGACAGAGAGATAGAAACATCAAGGATGAGAGAGAATCATGGATTGGCTGCCTCCTGCACGCCCCCTACTGGGGATGGAGCCTGCAACCTGGGCATGTGTGTGCCCTTGACCAGAATTGAACCTGGGACCCTTCAGTCTGCAGGCTGACGCTCTATCCACTGAGCCACACCGGCTAGGGCTGGTTTTCCTCTTTTGTGAAATCTTTTCACTTCCTTCCATTTGATGTCCATCCTTCTAGTTCAGTCCCATCAGCTCTCCCCTGTGTTCCGATACTAACGCCTCTTAACCGGCCTCTCCACATCCACTCTTGCCCTCTAATCCGTTCTCCAGTGATTATTTCTGAAATGAAAACATGCTCCTATCTTCCTGATGTTTTAAGACAAAGAATGAATCCTTGCCATAGCTCTCCGCATGTGTGTGCCCCGTTCCTGCCACTCACCGTGTTCTCTAGAGCCCAGTCGTGGCTCCTTTCCATTTTGAAACGACACTAAGCCCTTTCACTTCCAAGTTTCTGCACCTGCCACTTGGTCTGCCTGGATGGTCTCCACTCTGCTCTACTGCCCCCCCCTCCCCCCGCCCGGCCTCGAATTCGTTCAGATAACACCATGGAGCCTTTCTTTGATCTTCCCAATCTAAGTCAATTCTATGGCAATGAGGTAGGGCTCAGCATCAACTCTATTCCCATGCTATTCGGAAACACTGAGAAAATTAATGCTACATGGGTAGATGCCAACAGGATTCCCTCCAGGGGTAGAATTCCTTGGGAGCGAGGAGTTGCACGGCACGTTTCCTTTTAGCCACTTCACCCAATTCTTCGAATGCCTTCCAAAAGAGTCTTCTTCTGCAAACCATGAGACTGATAAAGGGATGTTTTTAACAATCCCATTTTTGACATTCACTTTTCCCACATCACTGCCAATGTTTTAAATTGTGCCTTTTGCTGCCCAGAGGCACACTCTGGAGTAATGGACTATGTATGTCTTTAAAAAAAATGTTTTCATTGACTTTAGAGAGAGAGGAAGGGAGAGGGAGAGAGAGAGAAATATCCATGATGAGAGAGAATCATGGATCGGCTGTCTCCTGCACGCCCCGCCCTGGGGATTGAGTCCGCAACCCCGGCCTGTGCCCTGATTGGGAATTGAACTGTGACCTCCTGGTTCCTAGGTTGATGCTCAACCACTCAGCCACACCGGCCGGACTGTCTTTTTTTTTTTTTTTTTTTTAAGTAAAGGTGAAGAGCAGTTGTGAAAGAAGAGGCGGGAAGGAGAAGTCAGCCTGCTTTAGGGGCAGTGCCAGCACAGCGGCTCTGAGCAGCAGGGGCCTGGGTGAAGTGAGGGTGTGAAGCGGGTCCCCTCCCCTCTCCCCCCTCCTGGGTGTAGAGGCTGGAGTCAGGTGCTCCTGCTCACGCTGGCATTTTGGGAGGCGAGAGAACTTTCCTTCCTACTCACCATGGGCTCATCCGTGTTCTTCTGGAACTGAACCAGCCGGACGCGGGTCACGTTCTCCATGTCCATGTCTCCGTTGGCGCTCTCCGGGGAATCACCGTTTAAGTAGGGAGACGTGGGAGGCGGTGTGACCCTCAGCGCTTCATCGCTGTAAACTTCATGGGCCACTACGTCGTGAGTTTGAAGTAAGGCCTAGTATTTCAGGAGAGAAGTAAAATCTCAATAATAGTACTATTCCAGCAGAAATCGATTCTATAAACATGCATACAATCACCCTTTGCCTCTCAAAGGTGTATCTCATCTACAGAGAACTCAAAGCACGTTACACCTACATAAAACTATACCCTGATTTCTTTAAAAATATATTTTATTGGCTTCAGAGAGGAAGTAAGAAGGAAAGAGAGAAACGTCAACGATGATAGAGGATCATGGATCGGCTGCCTCCTGCACTGGGGATGGAGCCTGCAACCCGGGCATGTGCCCTGACCGGGAATCGAACTGTGACCTCCTGGTTCCTAGGTCGACGCTCACCCACTGAGCCACACCGCCCAGGCACCTTGATTTCTTTATGACAAATAATCATGATGATTTAAAAAAGAATGAACACATGAATGAATGAGTAAATCAATGAATGCATGTGTTTGCTGATTACCTGGGTTAGAGGTATGGTCTGATGTTATAAAAAAGTACCAACTAACCTGTTTGTTTGTTTATTTATTTATTTACTTTTTAATCCTCATCTGAGGATATTTTCCCATTGATTTCTGGAGAGAGTGGAAGAGAGAGGGAGAAACAGAGGTTGCCTCCTGCACATGCCCTGACCAGGACCCAGGCTGGGGAGGAGCCCGCAACCAAGGTACGTGCCCTTGACCGGAATCGAACCCAGGACCCTTCAGTCCACAGGCCGGTGCTCTAGCCACTGAACCACACCAGCTAGGGCCCAACTAACTTGTTAAAAAGCTGACATAACGCAATTTCAAATAATTTAGCAGAAAGGCTCATGAGGGTGGCAAATTTGTTCTAGGGTTTAAAATGGAAACAGATTTAAAAAGAAACAGTGCAATAGTTGGTGTACTGAGTAAATATCTTTCATTGATAGTGTTAACAATAACTCTGTTATATAACCAAAAGGATGAAGACAATTTATAACATATGACTTCACGAAAGAGATGAGAACACACACAAGTGTAACTGAAAAACATGTAATTTTCCAAAATACCACATTCGATATGGAGCTAACATCTAAACGCACCTAATGTTTTTATTCACTTCTATATTTTGGAGCGCTTGACTGAAAAATAAGTAGACAATTATCATTATGACTTCCTTTTGCCAAGCCCGTTAACAAAGAAAAAGTGTTTTCTTTGTATTGATATCTGCACATGCCATCTTGGTGGAACTGGATAACAAATATCCCTAAAAAAGGATATTCTTTGTGACATACTATGCTCTTGGTGCCATCACAACAAAGTTTTTAATAAGCATGAAGAGCCCTGGCCGGTTTGGCTGTGGTTAGAGTGTTGGCCCTCGGACTGAAGGGTTGTGGGTTCGATCCCTGGTCAAGGGCATGTACCTGGGTTAGACTCGGTCCCCACCCTAATTGGGGTGCGTGCAGTAGGCAACCAATCGATGTGTCTCTCTCACATTCATGTTTTTCTCTCATCCCTCACCCTCCCTCCCCTCCATTCTCTCTTTAAAAAAATCAATGGAAGCCCTGACCGGTTTGGCTCAGTGGATAGAGCGTCAGCCTGCAGACTCAAGGGTCCCGGGTTCGATTCCAGTCAAGGGCATGTACCTTGGTTGCGGGCACATCCCCAGTGGGGGGTGTGCAGGAGGCAGCTGATCGATGTTTCTCTCATTGATGTTTCTGACTCGCTATCCCTCTCCCTTCCTCTCTGTAAAAAAATCAATAAAATATATTTAAAAAAAAAAATCAATGGAAAAAATATCCTCGGGCGAGGCTTGAAAAAAAAAGAGCATGAATATTTGAACACGTCTACTTCAAGGAGAATATTACAGCTGAAGATGAGTATGCTTGGAGCTTACATAGATTCTATTTTCTTATGTGCTAACTATAAATTCAGTTCTGTTTGAATCTGTGATCTGTGTGGTGATGAAATCTCTAGAGATAATTAAACGCAATTAAAATTGTTTTGAAAGTACAACCCTTAGCATCTCAAATTAAGTTATTTAATTAAAGGCTTATCACAGTTATGACTTGGCTATTTTAATTTCAAAGGCATGCGTACGAGGCAAAAATAAAGTAACAATGCAGTGCAATTACAAAGACGGGATTGACTTGTCATCAGTAGTGCATGTGTTTAGAGCAATATATGCATTTGGGTTTCTTTTTTTAAAATATATGTTATTGATTTTTTTACAGAGAGGAAAGGAGAGGGATAGAGCGTTAGAAACATCAATGAGAGAGAAACATCGATCAGCCGCCTCCTGCACACCCCCTACTGGGGATGTGCCGGAAACCCAGGTACATGCCCTTGACCGGACTTGAACCTGGGACCCTTCAGTCCGCAGGCCGATGCTCTATCCACTGAGCCAAACCGGTTAGGGCGCATCTGGGTTTCTAATAAAGTGGCAGAGATTTGCAAAGTTTCCGAGGCTGGTCTGAGCTGGCGTCTGGGGGAGGGACACCCAAGGGCACAGCTGGAGAGCGGGGCTCACGGTGGCCCTGAGGCCTTGACCTCCTGACCCCTGCCTGACCCCTGCGCCGGTGCCCAGAGCCCACGTGGGGAGGCGCTGCTATGCAGGTAAATGCCTGTTTTCCTGCTTTCATTGTGGCCACTCGAGAGCGAAGCCTTACTGCACAAAACAAAGGCCAATAATAGACAAACTGAAAACTTCATCTGCTAAAATTAGCCCAACTGTACCCACTGTAGGTGCGCCTCCATCATTAGTGAATTCTAAAAAAGGTGCTTAGTAGGATCGGAGGACACGTCGCCAGGTAAACAAAGAACCAAGCTTTTGTCGGGTTATAATGGCGGGTACAGGGGTTGGAGAGAAAGTGTTTATGCTGCTTTTGGCAAGTGATTTCTATTTCTCCTTTCTCTTCCTATTTCTCCTTTTAAATATATAAGCAAATACTTGTATTTTAATGTATTATTTATAAGGAATCACAAAATAATACTCAAACTGAACTTTAAAAGAAAAACGCTCAAATTATGCTACCAAAGGAGGTCATACTTCATAGTAACCAGTTTGCCACAAGATCAAAGTCAACCTGAGGCTCCAATGTATCTGCAAATAGAATACAAGGGGCCACTTACAGGTTGTTAAAAAAAAAGCCATTAAAAAGAATATGCCAGCCCGGCCAGTGTGGCTCAGTGGTTGGGCGTTGACTTATGAACCAGGAGGTCACGATTCAACTCCAGGTCAGAGTACATGCTCAGGTTGTGGGCTTGATGCCCAGTGTGAGCCATGCAGGAGGCAGCCGATCCATGATTCTCTCTCATCATGGATGTTTCTATCTCTCCCTCCCTCCCCTTCCTCTATGAAATCAATACAAACATATTTTAAAAGCCGATCACCAGGCTTGCTTGAGGTCACCCACCTCATAAGTGGCCTCCTTGTGGTTCCAAACCCAGATCTTACTGGCTCCGAAGCCCATGCTTTTAAAAGTGGGTTCACTTGTAATGAGGATCAGTTTTCCTATCAGCTTAACTTGGGCCCACTGGCCACTCCCGAGGAAGCATGTTTGGAGAATGTCCCATGTGGGAAATACTATGTCAAATAGACCTTTAAACGCAGAAACTTTCTATCTTAGAAACATTTTTCAATTATGGTTTCAAAACCTTAGTATTTTTAAAGAAATATTAATAGCTAAAGGAAAATATTTTAATGCTTATATGTGGTTATGATGCCAAGGTTTGGGAGTTATTCTTAGCATATTTATAATTTCGCTTATTTTTTCAATTATCTGGCTTTTTCTTTGCTTTCTGATCAGTAAAACAGGGGGACTTAACATTGAATTACCTGACACTTAAAAAATGCATATATTTATAAATATTTGCAGTAATTAAAGGAAGTGTAAATAAGTATAGATTTAAATGATTTTTTAAAGTCTGTACTCTAAAAGACATGATAAAAATGTTATCACACTAATACCTTTTTTAATTATTCCATTCGAAAGACTAATTTTTTCAAAAGAGCAGACCCTGGCCCTGGCCCAGTGGTTCAGCTGGTTAGAGTGCGGGCCCCATGCGCCAAGGTTGCGGGTCCCATCCCTGGTCAAGAATCAATGAATGTGGAAATAAAGTGGAACAACCAATTGATGTTTGTTTCTCTCTCTCTCTCTCTCTCTCTCTCTCTCTCTCTCTCTCTCTCTCCCCCCCCTCTTTCCCCCACCCTTCCCCTCTTTCTCTAAAAATCACTAAATAGCAATTTTAAAAAAGAACAGATCCTTTGCTTATTGCAATTATAAAATACAAAGCAGTAAAGACATACAGTGGGGCTTTGACTTACTAGTTTAATTCGATCCGAGACCGAACTCGTTAACTCAAATTACTCTATCAACTCAATGCAAAAAATCGGCCGAGACACAGCTGGTATCTCAAAAAACTTGTTAGTCGGGACACTCGTAAGTCAAGGCCCCACTGTACTAATAGAAGTTAATGATTTCTTTTTTTCTTTAAGAAATCAGATGTAGAACAGAAGATTTTATAAGCAAATTTGTATCATACTTTCCCCAAAACAAAATGTTTATTTTTATTTTTTAAATATTTTATTGATTTTTTACAGAGAGGAAGGGAGAGGGATAGAGTTAGAAACATCGATCAGCTGCCTCCTGCACACCCCCTACTGGGGATGTGCCCGCAACCAAGGTACATGCCCTTGGCCGGAATCGAACCTGGGACTCTTCAGTCCACAGGCCGACGCTCTATCCACTGAGCCAAACCGGTTAGGGCCCCAAAACAAAATGTTTAAAACCACCTTGGGTTGTCATGAAAGCTTCATTAAGTGGTACATTTTATGATGTGAAATTAAGAAGCCAGAGGAACCACTTTTTGAACCTGAAATTCATAGTTTTTCTATTTAGTTTAAAATAGTCAGATTTTTTTCACTCTTGTCTGAAGTTGCTATCTTGTCCATATCTTTATTACAGTCCAAAAAGTGTTTTTTCCTATTACACGATTCTTCTTATGTAATTAAAAATAACAGCTATTTCAGATTAGTAACAATTGCCCAATCATCCCTTATAACGTATTTGAAGAAAAATATTCCATCTTTGATTTTCCTCTTTTTATTTGGCATGTTCTTTTTAAAAAATATATGTTTTATTGATGTCAGAGAGGAAGGGAGAGGGAGAGAGAGAAACATCAAGGATGAGAGAGAATCATGGATCGGCTACCTCCTGCAGGCCCCCCACTGGGGATGAAGCCATTAACCCAGGCATGTGCCCTGGCCGGGAATTGAACCCTGACCTCCTGGTTCATAGGTTGACGCCCAGCCACTGAGCCCCGCCGGCCGGACAAGCCTTGAGGGCACAGTTTCCTCTGTGAACTGTAAAAGGGATTAGTCACACCACCTCACATGCCAACCTTGAGCAAGTTCTGTCATATTCCACCATCTCTGATGTAGAATCTCCATCTGCCCATTTTCCGCCAGCCCCATCCTTCTCCAAGCCTCGGCCACCTCTCACAACAGCCTTCTAAGTGGCCTCCTTCTTTTAACTCATCCCTCCTACAGTCCGTTCTCTGCACGTCAGCCCAGCAGTATCTAAAGCTCCGAGCTGGTAGTACTTTCCTGCTTGCAACCCCCGGTGCCCTCCTCGTGCCATCAGGACAAATCCCGACTCCGCACCGTGGCCGGGAAGGCCCGTCTTCTAGCTCTGCTTGTATCACTTGCTCCCCTTTCACCAGGTCGCAGCCACAGTGGCCTTCCTTCCATATGCTGACCCTACACAGCTCCTTCCTGCCCCTGGCCGCTCACTGCTCTTCCCCAGGCCTGCACGTTCAGAAGGCTGGTTCTTTTGTATCACAAGTCTTGGCTCAGCGTTCACACCCCGGAGGGGCTTTCCCCTGATTATCTAAAGTAGCTCCCGCCCGGCCGGTGTGGCTCAGTGGTTGAGTGTCGACCTAGGAACCAGGAGGTCACGGTTCGATTCCCGGTCAGGGCACAGGCCCGGGTTGTGGGCTTGATCCCCAGTGTGGGGCGTGCAGGAGGCGGCCGGTCCATGATTCTCTCTCATCACTGATGCTTCTATCTCTCTCCCTTCCTCTCTGAAATCAATAAAAATATATTAAAAAAATAATAAAGTAGCTCCCACTTGACTATCATCTCTGCCCCATTATCCTTTCTTTTCTTCATAGTCATGATCATTTTATGAAACTAGAGGCCCAGTGCACGAAATTTGTGCACGGGTAGGATCCCTAGGCCTGGCCGGCAATCAGGGCCGATGGGGGCCTTCCTTCCTCTGGCTGCCGGCTGCCGGGCCTTCCTTCATTCCACACCACCCCCTGATGGTCAGCGCATGTCATAGCGAGTGGTCGAACTCCCGAGGGGACAATTTGCATATTAGCTTTTTATTATATAGGATGATCTTGTTAGTTTACTCCTCACCATCTGTCTCCGGCTCACATATCTCCCCTCACCCCGTCCCCACTAGAATGGGAGTTCCCTGAGGGCAGGGACCTTGTCCTCACTACTGCCCTCAGTGCCCAGCATGGCGCCTGGCACACAGCTGGCAATTACATATTTGAATGAAAATATCTTTCAAGCATCTACCTCGATATTCAGAGATGACAAGAATTATTTATTATTTTTTGGAAATGTTTACTGATAGCAGTGCACATGTGACTTTGTACTGTAATATTAACAGTCTGATATTGCAGGAATAAATTGCATTTGATGAAGATGGCTGTTTTATGAGGACTGCTAGAAACTTTTTAAAAAAGGTGAAGGGTACAAACTTCTAGTTAAAAAATAAAGGAGCCCCGGGGGTGTAGTGTACAGCACAGAGAATATGTTAATAATATCATAACTTTGTACAGTGACAGATGGTTAATAAACTTATGGTAGCGATCACATCGTGTACACCTGAAATGAACAGAATATTGAATGTCAATATACATTAATAAAAAAATCTAAATATAGGAAGAGCTTCTTTTGAAAGGAAGATTGTAGCTCTGTGGGGGTTCAATGGTTACTCACCATGAAATGAGGTTGTGTTAGAATACGCTTTAGTTCCTTCGCATCACTATTCTCAGGGTAACATGAAATTTCTTCCAATACCTAAAACATAAAAAAGCAAGATATACCATAGTGCAGACAGGATATGTTTTAAAACTATAAAAGTCTTTTAAATTAAAAGTTATGGATGAGCCCGCCTGGCGTGGCTCAGGGGTTGAGCATCGACCTAGGAACCAGGAGCTCTCGATTCAATGCCCAGTCACGGCACAGGCCTGGGTTGTGGGCTCAATCCCCAGGGTGGGGCGTGCGGGAGGCAGCCGATCATGATTCTCTCTCATCATGGATGTTTCTCTCTGTCTCTCCCTCTCCCTTCCTCTCTGAAAGCAATAAAAACATATTTAAAAAAATGAAGCTCTTCAAAAGCTATCCCTTACCACCAAGATGGAGCTTACACATTTAGAATTTGATTGTGCCATGAGCCCAGGGTGGTGGGAGGGAAGCCCCCATTGTCCTTTAAACATCCTGCTACGGTTCTTAATTGGAGCCGGTTGGGCCCAGAGCGCTTATCTAAAGGCACCCAATGCCCCAAGTTGAGCCATTCACGGGTTGCCCGGCAGGACTGGCTCGGAGGGCCCATCCCTGCGGTAGGAGCTCTCGCCTCCCCTGGGAGACCTGCACCCTGGGCGGATGGGACGCCTGAGCGTCCTTAGCCTCAGGCTTCGATTTCAGCAGCAAACCCACAGGCTACTCATCACCTCAGGGGCCATGGGACAAACAGCAACCGGAGGGTTTTTCTTTTCTTTTTTTTAAAATATATTTTATTGATATTTTACAGAGAGGAAGGGAGAGGGGTAGAGAGTCAGAAACATCGATGAGAGAGAAACATCGATCAGCCGCCTCCTGCACATCTCCCACTGGGGATGTGCCCGCAACCACGGTACATGCCCTTGACCGGAATCGAACCTGGGACCCCTAAGACCGCAGGCCGACGCTCTATCCACTGAGCCAAGCCAGTTAGGGCTGGAGGGTTTCTTTCTTATCGCAAAGCACGCTTACCCAGTACTGGTTATGCTGGTAATTAATTTTGCCTCACGACAAGCCACTTCTCCTTGCTGTATTTTATGCTTTGAGTTTTGCTACTAGAAAATGAAAGGATGAAACCGTATACTCTCTCTGGTCCCTCGCTACTCTCACAATCTATAATCTTATTTCTTTATTTTAAAATTTAATTAAAAAAATTTTTTAAAGGAAGTTGTATTTTGTTTTGTCTTTTAAATCCTCACCTGAGGATATTTTTCCCACTGATTTCTAGAGAGAGCAGAGGGAGACACACAGAGAGAGAGACATCAGTGTGAGAGGGACACACACGGATGGGCTGCCTCCTGCACGCACCCCAATCACGGCGGGGAGGAGCCTGCCACCGAGGTACATGCCCTTGACCGGAATCGAACCCGGGACCCTTCAGTCTGCAGGCCAACGCTCTAGCCACTGAGCCAAACAGGCCAGGGCTCAATCTATAATTTTAAACACCGAGGTGTGGCCTCCTGAGTTAGAGAGGATGTCTCCTGGCTGGTGCCCAGACCTGACGTGGGTGGGCCTCGCAGGCCCTGTCCTAGGTTTTGTTTCTCAATGAATATTTGGTATTTTCCGGGACAGGTCTTGTGTGTAAATCCTGGTGGGGAAGGAATGATGTCCTTCAGATTCTCTCACTTCCTAAGAAGTAAAGTTTTCAAAGGGAAATGTTTATTTGCACGAAGGCTTTTATGACATCAAAAAGTGGAAAAACCCCCACTAGGTGTCTCACAATGGAGGAATTGCCAATTCATGAGCATTCAGTAATAAAAAAGAGAAATTATGTCGTCATTGGAACTTATATTTACAAAGACCAAGTAGAAACATAGGAAAATGCTCATTATACGTCAGGTAAAAAAAGGATATTTTGATTGTATATAAACATTTATATGCAAATGGATCATGACTGGAAAAGGACAGGCGAATGAAATTACTGAGTTAGGCTGATGGGATCATGCATGAATTTTTATTTTCCAAACTTTCTACAATGTCATGTTTCCATATAAAAAAGGTTTTAAAACGTCTGTGACAGACATACATTATCTGACAATTTATAGAAATGACGTATCTCTGAACTTAGATGTTGCAGATATTAAATTAACTTGCAAACATTTCCACCTTATAAAGCAACTCAAATGTTCAGAGCATGTCTGTTTCCATCAAGTGCAGTAAAATAACTTTAAAAAAAAAGAGAAGCAAAAGTTGCTGTGTTAACAAGTTCAGGTTCACACAGCAGAACCAGCCCTGGAACCTGGGGAATGCTGCTCTCAGACGCCCAGGTCTGTTTACAAAAATGTCCCTCAGCCTGGCCAGTGTGGCTCAGTGGTTGAGCATTGACCTATGAATCAGGAGGTCACAGTTCGATTCCTGGTCAGGGCATATGACCGGGTTGCGGGCTCAATCCCCAGTGGGGGGGCGTGCAGGAGGCAGCCAATCCATGATTCTCTCTCATCAATGATGTTTCTATCTCTCTCCCCCTCTCCCTTCCTCTCTGAAATCAATAGAAACATATTAAAACACAAACATACAAAATATGTCACTTACCTCTTTGGCTCTCTGTACTGCATCACTCGGAGGGTTCCTGATTTGCGGCGAAGACTTCGTGTTAATTTTGTCATACAGCTGAAAGCAAAGGAGAACAGCCAATCACTTATTATTCTTTGCTGGAATTCAGCACGTCATGTTTATTATTTCACTGAACAATGTTTTCCTCTTCCAAGAGCAGGCTGACGATTTCCGTGGGATCTTCCTGTTCATCTTTTGATCCTTCAAGGAAACTTGCTGGCATAGGAATCGTGTGCAAATCCTACCAGAACCACTTTTAAAGAGGTGGCCCCAAATTCTGTCAGTGTGGCGACTGCCTTGTCGTTTTCAATTCATCCGTATTTCAGGACTCACGGGATGCTCCCTTCTGATAGAAGCAACAGTGAGTAAGATGAAGGCGGAGGAAAAGGAAAGAATGCTTTTTGGCCAAGACCCGACTGAGGAATTTTCACAGAAATCTCCGTCTTGGGAAAGGGCAAGCCAAGCCCTTCCAGGAAGGAATGTTCTCGCAGAGACTCCTGCTTGCTCACCAGGGCTGCTCACCCACAGCGCCAGCCCGAAGGCTCGACAGGAAGCCAAGGACATAACCTTTGCCTTAGAAATCGGAGAGCCACACAGTTTGAGAAGCCATTCATTTTTTAAATTGTATTTATTTTTAAATAGATTTTTATTGTCAATAGTAGCACAGATATCTCCCATCTCTCTCCTTCCCCCCCAGTCACCCCCACTTCACCCCCTACCCACCCCCCAGGTCTTCACTACCCTATTGCCCGTGTCCATGGGCTGTGCATATAAGTATAGAAGTTCTTTGGTTGATCTCTTCTCATCCCCTCAACCCCACATCGAGGTGTGTCGGTCTGTTCCATGGCTCCCTGCTTCCGGACTTATTTTGTTGGTCAATTCATTTTGTTCATTAGATTCCACAGATCAGTGAGATCATGTGGTATTTGTCTTTCTCAGATGGGCTTATTTCACTTAGCACAATAGTTTCCAGGTCCCTCCATGCTACCCCAAAGAGAAGACATGGACAGAATCTAAAAATATTTAAAAGCCCCGCAAATCTAAATGGTCTAAAAATTTAACTTTCTGAAGACCATTACTTCATTAGAGAAGAATCTCTATAGTGTGGAAAAACTGAAATACTGGTTTCTAGCTCAGATGAAACGTCTCATTCAACAGCCTGCTTTGAAAAGTGACAAGTTAAAAATGAGCTTGGCTGGGCTGCCACTTCTGGTTCCTCACTTCTCTAAAATACATGGGGATTCTTTTGGGGGTTGGTTTTGCCCTTTTTTTTAAACTCCTCTACTATGCACAGCCATACTACAGAGAGGTCACCCCTCCCCCCGCCCCTGCTCCCCTCTCTCCACAATGCAAGGAGCCATCAGTTAAACAAAAGCATTGAAAATACATAACACGTAAGAAAAATAGACATAGTCATCACCCGACCTGTCCTAGTATTGACAATCAAACAAAGTCAAAAACGACATGAATAATAACAATATTTACGGCTCTGGAACGCTACTGTGTGAAGAGGAGACTTAACCGAAGCTTCCCAAGTTGGCGGCACTATCGCTCTATAATAATCTCACCACATAAAGTTTGTCTTTTTCTTGACCAAGGGCTACCACGAGCACTGCTCTCACACTTTGCAGCGAGGATTAGTCTGAGTTTCTATTTACACATCGGATTCATGCGCGCTGGTTGGTACTCACTCACAAAGCCACAGAAATCCCACTGGAGACCTTTTATTTTCGGCCTGGCCTTGCTGTGCCAAGCGCAGCTCCCTGGGTCTCAGGTCAGAGTGGTTTTTCTAAAAAAATATTTTTATTAATTTCAGAGAGGAAGGGAGAGAGAGAAACATCCATGATGAGAGGGAATCATGGATTGGCTACCTCCTGCACATGGGACTTAGCCCGAAACCCAGGCATGTGCCCTTGACTGGAATTGAACCTGGGACCCTTTGGTCCGCAGGCCTGATGCTCTAGCCACTGAGCCACACTGGCTAGAGCTCAGAGTGCTTTCTTGAGGATTTGGAGCGTAATCAGCTGAGGGGGGTAGGAAACATGCAGGTTCTGGCCTCCCTCCAGACCTACTGAATCAGAACTTGAAACGGGGTCTAGAAGTGTCTGCTTCGGGTAGCTGTCAATCTTAGATGCAGTGTTAAGTTCTGAGAGTAAGAATAACAGTACTAATAACAACAATGACAAGTGCTACTTTTATTGAGCACTTCTTACATGCTAGTAATAGTTCCTACTTAAAGTTCTTAATACACATTACTCAAATAAGCCTATAAGGTTGGCACCCCTATTCTCCCCACTTTACAGATTGGGAAACTGAGGAATGGAGTAGGAATCACTATTCAAGCCCTTGTCACTTGTTGATTGGTTGATGGAAGCCATTCTGACAGGTGTGAGGTGGTGATTAATGGCACTGAGCATTTTCTCATATGTCTCTTGGCCATCTGCTGAGTTGCATGAGTACTTTATATATTTTGGAAATTAACCCCTTATCAGATGTATCATTGGCAAATATGTTCTCCCATACAGTGGGTTCCCTTTTCCTTTTGATATCAGAGAGATGCAAATTAAAAGGACAATGAGGTACCATGTCACACCTGTCAGAATGGCTACCATCAACAAACAGGTGCTGGCGAGGGTGTGGAGAAAAGGGAACACTCGTGCACTGCTGGTGGGAATGCAGACTGGTGCAGCCACTGTGGAGAACAGTATGGAGTTTCCTCAAAAATTAAATATGGAACTGCTATTGCACCCAGTGATCCCAGCATTGCTTACAATAGCTAAGATCTGGAAACAGCCCAAGTGTCCATCAGTAGATGAGTGGATAAAAAGCTGTGTACATTTACACCATGGAATACTACGCAGCTGTAAAAAAGAAGAATCCCGTACCCTTTGAGACAGCACGGAGGGACCTGAGAGTATCACGCTAAGTGAAATAAGCCAGTCAGAGAAAGACAAGGATCATGCGGAAGCATGCCACAACAGATCGACGAATCTCAGAGTGTGTGTGGGGGTGGGTGGGACGAGATTAACCAAAGACCTTGAATGCATATATGCAAAGCTCAGGGACACGGACAATAGTGTGGTAAAGGCCTGGGGAGGAGGCGGGGGGTGTCAATGGGGGGAAAAAGAGGGACATCTGTAAAACTTTCAACAATGAAGATATTAGCCCATCAACTACAGCCCTGCCCCGGTAAAAATGTTAGAATCCTCATCCTTTCCTGGCCAGATGGTAAATATTCGGGCGTGGAGGGCCATTTGAACTTTGTCACAACCACTCAGCCCAGCCACACATGTGAAGGCAGCCACTAAGGATTCATAAAATAGTGGGTGTGGCTGTGGTACAACACAACTCCCTTCAAGAACAGGCGGCTGGCTTGGCCCGAGAGCTGTAGCTGATGCACTAGAAGCTGACATTCAGGGTGGATTGAAATGACAAAGAATATTCCTTGCCCGGCCGGTGTGGCTCAGTGGTTGAGCATCGATCCATGAACCAGGAGGTCATGTTTTGATTCCCGGTCAGGGCACATGCCCAGGTTGTGGGCTTGATCCCCAGTGGGGGGTGTGAAGGAGGCAGCCGATCCATGATTCTCTCTCATTATGGATGTTTCTCTCTCTCTGTCTCTATCTCTCTCTCTCCCTTCCTCTCTGAAACCAATAAAAAATATTAAAAAAAACCCCACCCCCAAACCAAAACTAAACAACAACAACAAAACCCCCAAATATATTCCTTTTGCTATTTGCTTTCCTGAAAATTGAAGATAACAAATGTATTTGTAAATCTGAAGCATAGAAGGTGAGGTGGAGGGAGGGAAAAATGTTAATGAATTATCCCTGGAGAGAAAACAAGAATGAATCTATTTGTTTTTTCTTTCTAATGAAATGAGAGTTACCCAACCTCAGCATTTTTTACTAAAAGAAACCCACAAAAACATAAAAAAAACCCAGCCACGGCGAAATGAGGAAATGGAGGGAGCGGCACGGGAAACGGAGCTGGGCACTGTCTGGTACACAGGCCACGGGCTCCCTGCCCGCTCCGGGCCGCGGCAGAGGTGCCCACACAGCCCGCGGACGCGCTCAGTCTGTCTGTCTGTCTGTCTGTCTGTCTGCAAGCCCAGTTCCGTTAGGAGGCCGCCTTCTATATTTGAGACGGGCTGTTTGAAACAAAGCAGAATGAAGTCGGTGGTGATCTGAAATCCAGCTTTCCTGAGAAGGAATCCGCTACTATGTCACTTTCTATTTCTTCAAAATACGAAATCATCTCATTTTTAAAATATATATATATTTGATTGGTTTTTTACAGAGAGGAAGGGAGAGGGATAGAGAGTCAGAAACATCGATGAGAGAGAAACATCGATGAGAGAGAAACATCGATCAGCTGCCTCCTGCACACCCCCTACTGGGGATGTGCCCACAACCAAGGTACATGCCCCTGACCGGAATCGAACCTGGGACCCTTCAGTCCACAGGCCGACGCTCCATCCACTGAGCCACACCGGTCAGGGCCATTTCATTTTTTAACCACACGCGACTATATTGCACTTCCTTTGATTTCTAGTCCTCAAATACATGCCTTTGTTTTCAAGCTCACAGTTTCTATGCAGCACTTAGCAAGGTTGATGTGTCTCTCTCCACTCGCTCTCTCTCTCCCCCCCCTCCTTCCCTTCCACGCTCTCTGAAAAGCAATGCATGGGTGGACCTTGAGAACGTTATGCGAAGTGAAATAAGTCAGAAAAAGCTAGGAACTATAGGATTTCACTCAGAGGTGGGATATAAAACTGAAACTTGTGAACACAAACAGCAGCGTGGTGTTGCCAGAGGGAGGGGGGTGGGGGGAGAAGGGGGTCCTAATATGAGGGGACAGGAGAAGATCTGACTTCGGGTGGTGGCACCTGGTCCTAGACACAGATTTTGCACATTAGTAATCCACTCCTGAAACCTGTATGTTCATGGTGACTAATGCCACCCCAATAAAGTAAAAAAGGGGCCTGGCTGGCTTAGTAACACCCTGCTCTATATCCATGATGACCTGTCTTCCCTAAGGAGGCCCTTGTTGGCTTC